TGATGCATTCATGATATGATAGGGGAAAATTGTTGAAAAAGTATAAAATGTAACTAATGATAATAGTAAATTTTAAATAATGATAATAATAAATAACAATAAATTAATGATACTTGTAGAAGTAGTACTGAATCACCAAACATCATTGCCACTATCCTAGGCTGATTAGCTCCTGACATGATTCACTAGTAAGTAGATCAGAGGCTAGGTGCCTGTAAACAATTTCGTGTAATGTCATAGCAATTTCTTTCTGGCAGTAAAATCATCCTGGTCAGTCAATTATAAGCAATAGACTCCTAAACTTTGAAATATGAACCGAAATACTATCAGCCTATCTCATGACTGAACATCAAATGCCGTACTACCATGAATTTCCAGAAATCTAGAAATCACTGTCAGAATAGCTGCAGAGCTCTGAAATTTTGAGAGCATGCTCTAGGAACTGTAATCTTTATTTAATATTATGTTTCATTAATTTAAGATTACAATATCTAAGTTTATTTAAAGCAAAAAGTGGTACCCTCTGCGAATCCCAGCCAAGCACCAAGATGATAATAATTTCTTGAAAAACAAGGGTAGTGTTGTCATGGTGCAAGTTTTTTTTTATGTTTCCAAACACATGTCAATCAAATTAATCTCCCATTTTGACAGGAATTTAAAAATTAAATACCTCCCACATGATGAATCAGAAACTGCCTGTCTGCCATTTTGGTAGCATTTTGATCCGTGCATGGTTTTTTACATACCTAGTATTTGCCATTATGTTTTCAGACAAATCAATGGTCAGGGCGTGGGTCTTCCACTCAATCCTATGTTTGCAAGTATTTTCATGTGTTTTCATGAGGCTACATGGCTGGCCAATTGTCCTCTTGAATTTATTTTCTGGCAATTGGCAGGATTGGCAATGATTAAATCAAACTGATTAAATCATGTAATTAAATCACTTGATTTTTTATAAAAAAAATTTTGATTTATTTTTTATATTTTTTTATATATATATTTAAATATATTGAGTGGCAGTCTTTAATTTATTTTGAGGTATTGTTATTCATGGTGTAATATAAATAAACTATGAGAAATTGGAATATAAACCTGTTGCCTTTAGTGTGTATTACGTTCCAATAAATTGTATGTTTTTGGTACAGAGGCATCAAGTATTGCAATACATTGTACATATAACATAGCTAGCAGCTTAGCTAATTCTTATAAGGCTATAAGTAGGCTTTAACTAACTTTTTGACTATTTGATATATGTTAATTACAATATACAATTTACATGTGTTAGCTAGCTTATATAAGAAGGGTTGGTTGAGATTGTATTGACCTTTTAGGCATTTAGAAATATTTTCCACCCTAATATGAGCATTCAAATTAAAATATTTAATTTCAATCTCTGAATACCGGTATGTGAAATTATAATTAGAAACACCAATTACAATTATAAAACTATATATTAAACAATTAAATGCAGTGAATGGGAATAAAATGTTTGAATTGTGTACACGTTTATTTCAAACAGTGTTAGCTTTTCTTATAACATACCGTCAAACGGGGTAAAAAGGGACGGTTTTAAGCGTTTTTTGTCAATAACTTCTTACCATGAAACATTTCAGAAACAAGTTTAGGCTTATTTTATAGCTCTCTGCAAGGGCTATCCAATGGCATCTTCAAAAAAATTCTATATGCTATTCGTAAGGTGCCAGATGCAAAATAAAACCGTCCCGATTTGCCCCTGGGAACGGGGTAATCCGGGATACTTGCAATAAAAGTTAATTTTAAAACATTTGAAGCATGCAGAGTGTACTCATCCATTACTAACAGTGCTTTGAACTTGAAGTCCTCCTCTTTCAATATAGATGATGTAGATGTAAAATAAATGACATTTTCTGTGATTTTTACTTGTTTTTCCTTTATTGATATTATATTACCATATTCATTAATTACCGTATCATTAATGTGATATTACTGTATCCATGGACATGCCATTGAGCATTGACTACGACCTTGTCCACTGCAAGCTTCATATCAGCAGCCATGTAGCATTTCTTCTATATCTGTAAGCTTACAGGATGGTTTGTAATTTTGCACAATTTTAATTAAGTCAAGTGATTTCACTATAACAAAAAAAAATTGTGAAAAACATACCTGAAACAGAAAATAATGTTTTAGTGACAACCATCATATATTTTGAAGAAATAAATCATAGTTTAGGTCAATTACTTTTCATTCTATGATGCCTGGTGCACAATTCTATATATAGCATTCTATGTACAATTTTGTGACGACCGTTAATGCACTAATTTTTCGATAAGTGAATTTTTTTTTACTGAGCGAGGTAAATATAATAATTCTTTGTTGTTGATCAATTTTTTTGTTAACTGGAACCTTTGCTAACTGAGGTTCTACTGTAAATGCATTTTTAAGGGTGTCCCTAATTACCCCGTCGGGGTGTCCCGAGTAGCCCTGTCCCCGTCGTGCAGAAATGGCTGCCATTTTTTTTTTTTATGAATGAGATACCGTCAACTGGGGCTACTCGGAACAGATTTGATCGTTTTTTTGTTAATAACTGTTAATAACTTCTTAGGATGAAACATTTTATGAACAAATTTAAGCTCATTTTATAGCTCTTTGCCAGGGCTATCGAATGGCATTGTCAAAAACATTCCATATGCTATTCCTAAGGTGCCAGACGCAAAATAAAGATTGTCCCGAGTAGCCCCGTGCCCCGTCGGTCGGGGCTACTTGGGACAATGGGAATAAAACTTCATTTCAAAACATTTGAAGCATGCAAAGCATACTCATCCATTACTAACAGTACTCTGAAGTCCTCCTCTTTCATTGTAGATGATGTAGAGGTAGAATAAATGACATTTTCTGTGATTTTTACTTGTTTTTCCTTTATTGATATGATATTACCATAAACATTAATTACCTTCAACTGGGGTGACTTCAGCCTTGTTTTTGATTCATGCTGGGGTCCTAAAGGCTGGGTTGTAAACGGCGGGGTCATAAACGTCAGGGTTGTAAACCAGGTCATAAATGCCGGAGTGACTTTGGCCATTGTTTATGACCGTTTATGACCCTGCTTTGGCCATCATTATGAACAGGGCCAAATCCCCCAGTTGACTGTGCCCTATTATTGATGGGATATTACCATATCCATGGACATGCCATTGAGCATTTACAACAACCTTGTTCACTGCAAGCCTCATATCTGCAGCCTTATAGCATTTTTTTCTGTATCTGTAAGCTTACAGGACAGCTTGTAATTTGTGTGATGATAAGTGAACTTTTTTTCGCTCAGTGAGGTAAATGTAATCAATATTCTTTGTTTTTAATCAATTTGTTCTTAACTGGAGCCTTTGCTAGCTGAGGTTCTACCGTAAATGCCTTTTTGGGGTGTCCCTAATAGCCCCAGGGGGGTGTCCTGAGTAGCCCCGCCGTGCAGAAATGGCTGCCATTTCTTTTTGGAATGAGATAGGCAAATTCTGTCCATTACGTTTTCAAGCCGACACCTGGGTGCAACTTTTATGCAAGTAAAATTTTTTAATACGGCAAATATTTTTTTTTGTTACATACCTTAGCAGTTGTAACTTTACAAAATATAGTTTTTCACCATTTTTTAAGGAATTTTTCAAAGCAAGTAAATGTAGTATTTTTCCACTTCCTTTATACTACATAGATAGGAAAAATGTTGACGTTTATGCCACTATTTTTAGTTTTGCAATATTCCAATTAGTTTTGCAATATTCCAATTAGTTTCGCTACTACAACAGTTTTACGACGTGTCGGAGGCCTGTCCCGAGTAGCCCCGCTTGTCCCGAGTAGCCCCGGTTGATGGTAGGCAAATTCCATCAATTACGTTTTCAAGCCGACACCTGGGTGCAACTTTTATGTTAGTAAAAATTTTTAATATGGCAAATATTTTTTTTGCTCCAGACCTTAGCAGAGGTACTTTTCCAAAATTGCACTTTTCACACTTTTTTTAAGCAATTTTTTAGAGATAGTAAATGTTTGATTTCTTGACTAGCTTTATACATAATAGATAGTAAAAATGTTGAAGTTTACGCCACTATTTTTAGTTTTGCAATACCGTATTTTGATTAGTTTAGCTGCTACAACATTTCTATGAAATGTGGGACGTGCGTCCCGATTTACCCCGCCTGTCCCTTTTTACCCCGTTTGATGGTAGGTCTCGTTTCAAGTCATTTGAAGTTTGTTTGGTTGTTGTTCAGTTTATGTTTAGTATTGGTTTATTGGTCTGATTCAGATAGGAACAGTGCAGTCACTCACTCAGTCACTGCTAGTTGGTGTGTGTAGAGGGTGGAGTCTGGTAGACATAAAACTTGTAGATCTATTGATAGTGTTGTGCACTGTGCTATCAGCTACCTATCTGTTATGTGACTCTCCAATGTAAAGAATATCTGCATTCCTGAAGTGTTGTTGCGGTTGCATATTGAAGCCTGTTAAATGGTCAATATTTAGCTCATTACCTTGCTCCATACAAACTTTACAAAGCTAATGAATAGACTTATCAATAATTGTTACCCAAAAGTCCTAAAGTGGTAAACACCATCTTGGCCATCCTTAAAGGCAATAACAGCCCTTTTTAGCCATCCATATTCTGTTATTGTTAGTAGGCTAATTGCAACATAAAAAAAACATTCCAAAAAGACAAAAAAGCTAAAAATAAAAAAAAAATGTCAAATAAATAAAAAAATTCTCAAAAAATAAGTCATTGATTTTATTTTTTTTATCAAAAAATGAAAAAATCACCAACCCTGGCAATTAGTGAGTTGAGCAGCATTTCCCTGCCTCTAGATGTAAAGTAAAAAGTTTAAATTTGAAGAACTTGATAGAACTAGGAGGAAGATATTAATTGCCAACTCATTGGCTGTACTAGTTGGGGTTTAGTGTGTCTTATGAAATATTTTCATTCTAAAATGGAATTGTACTGCTAAAAAATTGTTGAATTTCAATTATGTATGATTTTTTTCCAGATTATCTACAGAAAGTGTTGATTATCTTGCTATATATCTTCCACAGCATGACTTGGAAACAGAATCCTCTGCCTGACAGTAAGTGTTTAAGATCTTATAGGGTTTTGCAGCCCTTTTCCAAGTTCAAACTTAGATATGGTAGCATTTTTAATCACTCCTTAGTGCCAACTTTTAGGCCTCTGATTTATATCACCTATCCAATCTATTTAAAATTTTTGTCTTATATGAATTCTTTTTGTTTTGTCATGAAGGTTTTTTTAATGATGCTTGTTCATTTCCTTTCTCATGCTTTTATCATTTTGTATGGAAGACTAATGATAGTTTTTTAAGGATTTAAACTCTAGTTGAGAATTTTTCATTTTAAGAGCAACATCAGGCTGCATAAATTTATTACTTGTAATTGCTTTGAAACAATGAATTTATGTGTCATTTTGAGTATGTTATGGTAGCATATTATGTCCCTCTGATATTATGAGTTGTTCTCCGGAATGCTCTGCAATATTTGAACATGTGCTTATTATAATAACATTTTCTTTTTCTATTTGGAATGCTTATTTCCTTCAGTAATGAAAATTATCAATATTGTACATCATTAATTATGAATTAATTGGATTTAAGACATTATGTAATTATTGTCAAAAAAGAAGTATGGTAATTTCTATCAGTGGTAATTTTTGGCATTTGAATTCAAATGCAGAAATGGGGCTATAAAATATTTTACTCTTGTTATCCATGGATATGAAATATTTTGATCTGCTTAAAACACCAAAGATGTTCTCACACACTGCTACAAAAATATAATAAGGAATACTATATTTCTGCTAAACTTGCTTAATAGGCCATGCATTAAAGTATTGAGTTAACACTGTATTCAAATTAATGGAAACTCTTTGTTCTGAGTGTTTTGCATTTTTTCCCCAAATTATTTGCTTATATAGAATTCATTATTTGTATAAGGATTGCTAATTGTGTAAATGTGGAACATGATAATTGAACACATCTTGCATGAAAACCTTTTCAGCTGAAATTTGGTTATATTTTGGCTTAATTCAAATTCTAATTGTTTCACAGAACCTGAAATCCCAGTGCGGTTACCCCGAGAAGCTGGGGGACAGGGCACACTTGGCAGGCCTGTAAATCTAAGATCTAATTATTTCCAAGTGGAATTTGTGGCAAAGGGAACACAGCTATTTCATTATGATGTGAAAATAAATGATGCTGTCAAAGATGAAGATGATGAAAAAGGGGCAACAGCTGCTCCTCTGCCAGTTGGACTTCCCAAACCTGCAGCTGCTGAAGAAACTGGTGGCAAAGGCAAAAGGCGCAAAAAAGGGCGCGGCAAAGGCCAAAAAGACAGTGAAGCAACTGAGACGGGCACTAAAGAGGAAGCAATTGCTGGAGTGGCTGCAGTTGGGGGGTCACCAGATCGGGAGAAAATGACGGAGCGACGGATCCCCAAAGCCAAGCGTTGCAGGATCTTTGCCAATTTTATTGAAGAAAATCCTGGGGTAATTTTACTCTTCAAAAAATGTTATCAACAATAATATATGTGTTGGCTACTTATTATGTTTTGGTTAACCACAAAAAGTTGAATACTCATTTATTGTCAATTCATGATTATTATTGAATTTGATTTTGGTGAAGAATTATTTTCTTGAATTAAGCTAAACTTATCTGTTAAATAATGCCTAAAATCCCAATTATTTGGTCAGATATTTAGCAACTACAGAATGGCCTATGACGGCGAGGCCAATGCATATTGCTCAAAGAATCCCAGCCAATTTGTTCTGAATCAGCCAGTCAAGTTTTTCTACATCTTTGATGACAAAGTAGACAATAGGAAAAAGAAGTACTTGGTGAGTTAACATTAAACACCTGAAATTTCATTTACTTAGATGTTAATTAGTTGATAGCTAATTGGTTAATTGTTAGAACAAATTGATTAATCGTAATTAAGTACATGTTTGAAACATTCAGTATACCATTGCCATTAATCTTTTTTTCTACTTCTAGTGTGAATAATAGTAGGGTTATTTTATTATTTGTGACTTATTTTTAAGATTTAAATTTCTAATTGTAAAGTGTATTTCAATCTCCATTTCATGTCATTGATTTATAAAATATTAATAACACAAGGAGAGCTAATAACTATGTTGCTCTGCTGAGGAATAATTTATATATTTTTAGATCGAGTGGAAGCTTGTTCAGAGCGCAAAGATATCAGAATTGCTGGAGCATCTGCCAAGACTCAAGGCCTTGCCACCCAGGAGCGCCACCATCTTCCAGATGCTGGAAGTGATGTTCAACTATGAACGATCCCTCAAGTGAATATTAAATGGCTGTTGATTACAACTGTCTGTGTTATTGTTAAACAGTGTTGCACAAATGTAGTACATCAAGTCTTCAAACATGTCTATGTCATATGCATTTGATAAAATGTGTGCATTCACCGTTTCTTGACTTACTCTATTTATTTCAATGCGTACTATTAAAATTTTTGCCAAATTTCAAATTTGATCAAAATGCATCAATTTATTAGTTGTTAAAGCTTCCATGTAATAGGTATTCTGGTAATATTTCAGATTTGCAACAGTTGGCCGCAACCAGTTTTATTCACAAGAGAATCCTCAGTTCGGCCAGAACTACCAAATTAGCGGCGATAAAGAAGGCGTGATCGGATTTTACTGTTCACTGAGAGCGCGGTGTGGGTGGAAAGACACAGGTTGTCTTATGCTCAATCTTGATGGTGAGTGTTGAACTATTTTTGTTGTGCAATCTTACCCTAACTCACGGTTATCCGACTTATTCCTATTGTTTTCAAATTTGGTGACACAATTTGTGATGCAGCTCTAGTTTTTGCAAACATATTTTCTTGTCGATACTTAGCCTTATAAATACCATGTCATTCTAAGTTTACTTTAGTCTTTGCTAAAAGAAATAATTGAATGATCTCAATTCATATCATTGCATCTTCCTATCTCCTCTCATTTTCTCTTGTCTTCACTTCATAGAGGCTCTTCCCTTAAGTTTCATGGATCAAAACTTCATCTACATTTTTGTTCGAACACATGGTATATTTTGCCTGACGTTAATACCATAACTTTTAACCTCCCATGGCTTTAATCATCATCTTTTGCTAGAGTTATTTTTACTGGTTGCATGTAGAGTGTGGAGTTGTGTTGTTAGCTTTCTCTTGCGCTTGTCCTTCTATATGCACCACCAATAACGTCTGATCTCACTCATAATGATCATTATTAATACATGCATTAATATTTGATTAATTGTGTAGATTACGGCTATTATGAATAACTAATGTGTATATTCTGAACTTTCAGTCTCCCATACGGCCTTCTACACAGTACAACCACTGTTGGCTTTCCTGCAAAATACGTCAATTATTGGCCCCGGGATCCCAAGAACCCTTGACCGGCGTGCCATTGATGCCATTGAAAAGGAAATTGTGAAGAAAGACGTGCGGGTCAGTATTGTCTTGAAAATCCGTGGAAAAATGAGTACATTCCATCTATTCCCAAATTATTGAGCACAGAATTACTCGTGTTTTTTTGAAGTGTAACAAGATTTCATGAAGTTGTGTTTATTTGCCCTATCATATAATTTATCCAAGCTTTACTGACGTACCGTTTTAGACATGATCAGTATTTCAGAACGACCTTATAGGATACCTATCCCAGTAATACCTATCCCACCCATAATCTATTTACAATAGGAATAAAATTTTTAACTGTCACCTAATATATTCAGCAAAGAGTGAATTGCTAACTGCCAAAACTGATCTCAAACATATAAGTTAACGTCGAATGTTAGTAATTTTAAAATGGCCTCTATCCTCCAAACTCTTTAAAGTCCTCTAATAATTATAATTGAACTTTCACAGATCGTGACAACTCACGGCCTCTACAAGCGCCGCTACAAAGTGACGGGCGTGAGTAAGAAAAACAGTTTGACGCACACCTTCACGGTGGAGAAGGAAGGCGTCAGCCGGCAAGTGAACATCGTCCAGTACTTTCAGGACCAATACAAGTACAGGATACAGTATCCCGAGTTGAATTGCATCAAAGTCGGAACCAAGGAGACATTACTTCCAATTGAGGTAAAGCTATGGCTGGAGTATTTTCAAATTGATCTTGTATACCGTGAAGTCACGGACACACGACATGACGAGCACAATTGGGCATTTTTTCCATAAATGAGAAAATGCGTTAAAAAAAAAGTTGAATGAAAAAAGAAAGAAAATGCAAAAACAAAGCACATGGATGATTGCATGGTCAGATAGTGGCTTGAAGATTTAACGTTTATATTGACACTTTATTGTATTGTGTAAAATATAAACCTTGTCTAGCATACTGTCTTGGCGGCTTGCTTCCCAGCTGCAAACATTGCTAACGCAGTTACTTCCTATAGTTTTTTTCATTAGAATTGGTGTTTTTTTTGCATAATTGCTAATACTTATTCTTCTGTTCTGCATCAGCCTTGGCTGTTTTGTATCGGCCTTGCCTATCCTGTATCGGCTTTGCCTATCCTGTATCGGCCTTGTCTGTTCTATATCGGCCTTGTCTCTTTTGTATTGGACTTGGCTTTCTTGACAGGTGTGCACAATTGCACCTAACCAGCGTATTAAAGGCAAGCTCAAAGACGACGAGACTGCTAATTTCATCAAGCAGACGGCAGTGAAGCCCCAATTGCGTTTCCAGCAAGTGAACAATATTGTGGCAGCAAACAAATTTCCTGAGGACAGGATGCTGGAGAGTCTCGGTGTACGCATTAAGGCAAACGTGAGTAACGTTCATATTCTCTTGTGATAAATTAACTATTGGTGTGTTTTCCTGTACACTTTCAGTTGTTTATCTTTTAATTCAGTCGATTATTCAGTATTTATCGATTGTGTTTTCTAATTGAGATGTTTTCCGATCAAATTTCTGTCAAAGATTTTAGGCCATTACACAGAACCATATCTGGCTTAGTCTTGAAGTAGGTATTATTTAAACTGAATTAGGCATGTTCCTGAACGTTTAATCCAATAATGTAGAAGACGTCCATGGGGAAGACTAGGTTTGCTCCAGTCGCTTATGGGGTTTTCCTAAGAATGCTCCAGTTGCTTATGGTTTTTATCCGTGGAAGAGCAGTCGCCTTTATGTTTCAGGCGCTGTTAACTTTTTTTCGCTATAATTTCTCATTTTATGTGTTAATAACTAATACTCTTGTTCAGTAATTAGTACTTTATGAAGAGATAATGAAAATATTCCCACAGTCGATAGAGAATTCGAATTTCCAGGCCTCGTTGTTTATGCAAATTGCAGAGATATGTAATTTCTCCTTGATATCTTTTTCTTTCAAGTTTATTTTCACAGCAACGACGCTGTGAAAATAAGATAGTTTAGTTCTATATTTCCAACCACGCCATCGCGTTACCATTGCAAAAAAGTTATTTATTGACGAGTCAGTTGTCTCTTAATTATATTTATTTAAACGCCTTGGCGTCGTTTCATAATTCAAGTTTCGTGGAAAAAATGCAGAGAATTTTTTAATGAGATAGAGGACGAATTTGTCGATGTTTTGCTTGATATTTTAAATAACTTTTTAACGTAATTAATTGTGTAAACGAGATCACGCCACAAATAACAATTTGTTTAGTAATTCTGGTATTCATTCCTGTTGAAAGGCCATTCGCAGTGTATGTGTGAACACCCTATGGACTTTAAAAGTTAATAATGGCATTCTCGTTGTGTTTCAAGTAAAATTATTCATGGGCAGCCTGTGGACTTCAAAGGCCGCGTCTTGGATCCCCCCGTCGTGGAGCTGATGGGCGGCGCCAAGCCCCGCGTGGAGCGCGGCCAGTGGAGGGCAGACCGGGACGGCTTCTTGCTGCCCGCCGCCCTCGATCATTGGGCTGTCCTCAACTTCAGCCGCACCAGAAGCCTTGAGTGAGAATCTCGGCATAAAATCTTTAGCCACCAATTTTCTTGCGAGTGCAAAACACCTAACTGCTGACAGTAATCATTGAAAGAAATTTAACGGGCAACATATGTATATGGCAACTTGGTCATAGCGCAGCTTGAAATTAAATTCGATATATTTATCCGAGGGGACGAATCAGCATCATACATGAACAATAACGTCATTTTGTAAGGCAACATTCATGTACAGCTGGATGCTAAATAGTTAATTGTATAAGAACAGAATTACTTTAAGGGGAGCGTCTACTCTAAAATTAAAAATTGCCACTTTTTCGGTTTTTATACTCATTTTAAAGCTGACATTCTGCCCTATCCAACGGTACCACTGCCATCTCTCTACGTTGATTTATGATTTCACGGCATTTCATGAAAGGGGGGTGTAAATAGCCGAGATAAATTTTAGGGTAGACGCTCCCCTTAATGTCTTCTCTTGAAAAATTGAGTGCCTACATAGAACACGTTATCTTATGTTTTAGCAGCAAAAGAAATGATGTTTTAATCTGTTGAATGCTCTCAGTTTTCATGTGAAATGCTCTCGGTGTTCATTTGTACGTTTTGTACGCTGCAGTGACTTCATTGACGCGGTGATGACGACTGCGCGTCAACGAGGTATGAAAGTCCAGCAGCCCTACCACGTGAGCCAGCAGCTGCGACCTGAGGAGGCTGAAAGGAGGCTCATTGAAGCGCATTCCAAGAACAAGGATGTTAGAATTATCGTCTGCGTCATCGAGAAAGGAGGAGATCAGTACAGTAAGTGAGAGGTAGTGTTGTACACAATATTTTTATTCTGTAGGCACACTGACGAAGAAGTTATAAATTGCTAAATTTATAACTTCTTCGAAATTGTTTGTATTGCTTGCTCTTGAGCTCTCATGAATCTTGGCGCTAATATACAGTTTTGGTTCGTAATCTGTCATGCTTTGAAGCTCAACTGACGTGCCTATTTGTTCCTTCTTAGTTATGAAATCTTGCTCAGAATCATGGAATCCAAATTCAACCATATGCCGGGTACAATTCCATATGCATATATGCCAGGGTAATGGGAAAAATTGTACTTCTGAAGGTATATTATTGAAGACATGAAGATGGAATTCTGCTTCTCAAAACAAGCGAACATCTCGGATCGATTATTGTTGATGACCTTTTCTGAATTCAGTTCAATTTTCAGTAAATTTCCAGGAAATTAAACTTTACGTGAGATATCATACATATCTATGTATCTTATTCATGGCTGACATGAAATATTTTACGAGCAGAGATCATCAAGGAGACCGGTGATCGAGTGTTGCGTGTGATCACTCAGTGCGTTCTGTCCAAAAACGCCTACCGCCCAAACCCAGCCACTATTGGCAACATCCTGCTCAAGATGAACGCCAAGCTCGGAGGAATCAATCATAAATCTTTCTATGCTGCTCAGCCGTATCATCAGGTGAGACTTCAGCTGAGCGGTGCTATTTCTATTTCATTAAATATTTATTATACCAACATTTAATTCGTCTCTATGGTGAAAATGGCCATTTCCGCGCCTATTACTTTTGCGTTCTGGTGACGCTTTTGTGACCTGGATTTCTAGATGATTGATAAGAAATTTTGACTTTGAAGTTTATTTACCTTGCATTTGTTAGAAGCGCTAAGCAAGTTAAATAAATAAGCTACCTTTTTTGGTGGTTCTTGATAAGTTAATAAACTCACTGAATTGTCCATAGAACTCGTATTGCTTTTGCAAACGATAACGACGGTTAGCTGAAAGATATTATCTTTCATAACTAAATATTTTAATTTAATTGCGAGGATTTGATCGAGTTGGATTATCTAGACTGATTCATCTCACAGTTTTCTTGTTGCTCAATTTATAATGAGCTGCATTACAAATATGCTCTACATTACATGATTGTTACAGCTGTTCGCCGAGCCCATCCTCGTGATGGGCGCGGACGTGAACCACCCGCCATCGCAAGACCGGTCAACGCCGTCGCTGGTGGCGGTCGTGGGGTCGCTTGACCCAAACGCTTGCCGCTACGCCGTCGAGGTGCGCCACCAGGCCCACAGGGTCGAGATGATTGAGGAGATGAAGCTCATAACAATGTGAGTTACTATGTTATACTTAGTCAAGATGAACTAATTTGAGACAGTCGCATAGTCTGTAGTGCAGTCATCTTTGCCTGACTTATCACCATGTAAGCTTCTATGTCATACCTAGTCAAGATGAACTAATTTGAGACAGTCGCATAGTCTGTAGTGCAGTCGTCTTTGCCTGACTTATCACCATGTAAGCCTCTATGTCATTCCTACTGAAGGTACACTAATTTGAGAGATTGTCGCTTAGTCTGTAGTGCAGTCATCTTTGCCTGACTCTAATCATCATGTAAGTTCTCTTCCATGTGGTGCAGTCATTTTTGCTAAATTGGACCCAATAAAATTTTGGTTTCTGGTTTTACGTGACAATTTCTTAACCGACAGTTTTGTGTCTGAATAATTTCGGCCTGGAATGTATGATTCAAAGGTTATTTCGCGAGTTGAATTAGTCAGTTACCGTATTACTGGGTGAAAATGCTGTGGATTACCAGGTCACTAAATTTGGGGTCTATCACAGAGCATTATAAGGAGAATTATTATTAGTGAGTAATTCTTCTTTCTTTTAAATGTTATAGTTAGCTAGCTTCAATTTGTTAATGGCAAGTCATGTTTTTAATACAAGTTTCTTCTTAATTCTTTTTTCTATCTTGGCTTAAATTTTTTTTTTTTTTTTTTTTGGCATTTCCGATCATTTTAATAATATATTCATGATTAATTGCCTATATTTTTAATAATCCCCCTTAGTAAAAAATTATTCTTCTGAATTGATACAACTAAGTTATTTGTGTGTAGATGCAAATATAATGAATAAGAGGAAATTTAACTATTACACCCATGAAACGCACCTTTAATTATGATTCAGTAGGAAAACGTGAATGGTCTACCTCTACACTGTCAGCTTCATGGAAATTACCATGCCTTGTGATCTCGTGTGGTTATTCATTGCTGTTTGGTTTCTTTTCATGGGCAGTGATTTCTAATGAGCAGAGTGCTCCAAAAGTTGAGTAGAAGTATACTTGTATTAGATTTATTTCACTCTACGTCATATCCTCCGATTTAATTTTTTGTAGATGAGGAAATTGCCACCCTTTTATTCATCGCTTTGCTGATGGCTTATCTAAGCAATCTCTTGACATTTCTCCAATCAGGAACCTGTTGAAGCAGTTCTTCGCACAGACCAAAAGGAAGCCCACCCGCATAGTGATGTACCGCGATGGTGTGAGTGAGACGCAGTTCAACGCTGTCGTTGCCTACGAACTGCGCGCCATGCGACAGGCGTGTCTCGAGCTACAGCCTGACGGCGAATACAAACCAACCATGACCTTCATCTGCGTGCAGAAGCGTCACCATACACGGTACTGCAATCTCTACGTACACAGATGCATAAACTTTCATCGAACTTTAGCTTATAGGGTTTGGTGTTATTACAAAATGTAGGTACGGTACTCGTATAACTGATCAATAAATATATCAATGTATGATAACTACTTGAGCATTCACCTGCACATTGTTTTAAGTAATAAATCTCTGCAAACGTTCATCAAACTTTAGCTTATAGTTTTCGGTATTACAAAATGTATGTACTCGTATAACGGATCAATAAATATATCAATGTATGATAACTACTTGAGCATTCACCTGCACATTGTTTTAAGTAATTGTTTTAATTAATTATTCTCTGCCTTATGTCATGGAGAGTGAACCAGTGTTAAATATTTCTTGTTGATGTTTTACCTCAGACTGTATGCGGCGGATTCAAGGGACACCGATAGGTCTGGCAACGTGCTGGCCGGCACCGTCGTGGACCACACCATTACCAGCCTATCCAACCGGGACTTTTTCCTTTGCAGTCATGCTGGTTTGTCCAACCTCGTCAAAAATTGCTTTCGAGAAGTTGTAATGCAAATTTTTTCTAAGACATCAATTAAACTGTTGCTGGTCTCCAAAATTCTCTATTCTATCCCAGCGCTGTTAGCAACAGTGATTTATTTTTTCAATTCTTCTTGAGAATTAGGTAGAAAAGATATTTCTCTATGCCCAGATGGCGTTGCTAAGTTGTCGGTTATTTTGAACTTAATTGGCTGATCAGTTCCTCTTAGGTACTAATATTATTATTTAAGAGTCTCGTCGTACTTATTATATTGTGTTACTGTTGCAACCAAGATTGAGTTCAAAGCGAGATAATATTACAGGCATACAGGGGACGAGCAAGCCGTCCCATTACACGGTACTGTGGGACGACGCGGACATGCACATGAACCAGCTACAGCTCCTGACGTACTCCCTATGTCACAACTACGCGCGCTGCTTCAGGAGTGTGTCCATACCGACACCCGTGTACTACGCGCATCTTGCCGCCGCCAGGTTAGCTGCCACGCAAATATTGAATCACATCAATTATGCATTCTTTGGTTATAGTCTGGTGGCATGTAACAGCAGCCAGATATTGCTAAATAATTATGTAAACATCTCATAAATATTATATTACATGTTCTGTTATGTAACAATTAACTCTACTAAACACCTACTTTTTCTCGGGTTTTTCCGCTGTTGATTAACGCACTAAAGGCGCTCGTGGACTATACTAAAAAAACGGCTACTTACATCATAGAAATATTTTATTTTTCATATATATTCAGCTGCTGATTGCCACATATGATCAAACCTCTAAAATCAAAAACGTGCCCAGTAATCAGATTAAATCAATCACATGCATGATCATTTTTGGGTTAGAAGACGATATTATTGCAAAAAAATTGGCTAATGTAGAATTTTCCTTGCTCCTCTGTTGTTGAATGTTGGAGTGCTTATGATTTACTTGTTTGCAGAGCGAAGGTGCACTTGGCAGGAGCCCAATGCAAGGATCCTGGGAGGTGGGGGCTGCTGGCGCTCAACAGCTCTACTGGCTCCTTCAACGAGGATGACTTGATAGAAGCGACGCGCGTCGAGCGCGGCACGCCTGGTCTTAGTAACCAAATGTTCTACCAGTGAATTGGTCGAAAAGAAACCCGTTTATTTTTATAGCTTCATGAGCTTTTTTCGATTGATTCGACACTTGTTGACTTGATGGAAAAGAAACCCGTTTATTTTTAAAGCTTCTTTAGTTTTTTCGATTGATTCAACACTTGAATATTGGTGAAAAATAAACCCGTTTATTTTCAAAGCTTCATTAGCTTTTTGAATTAGTGTTTTCTGTAGTGTTGAATTAGTGTTTACTTATATGTGTTTATTTGTAACTTGGTTGTTTTGTGGCATTAAGAAACTATAGTTTTGCTTTCACTTCATAGTGGCTTAAAACCATAGAGAGGCTCGTTTCGCCAAAAAATATGATTTTATTGAATTTTTGACTCTGGAACTTGTTTTAACACTAGGTACTTCAGTGATATTCCTCTGACAGGAGAATAGGTAAGTTTCTTAACGAACTACTAGGTTTTGCCTCGCCTTGAATGATCTTAATCTCTTCTGGTCATGTTTTTATATTTTTTTTAACTCCAGGGGTATTCTTTTCTATTGGACAGAAGTTTTTTTTTAAGATTCCATAGCGGCTGTGGTACGTTTTTATTTAAATATAACTGCTTTTAGATGTGTACTGATCGATAACAAATGTCATGAAATAACATAGTTTATCTGCTCAGATTAAGATCCGTTGTCTCTCAGCGAGACTCATCTTGATAGATGTTTTATCTTCTGTATTTAAATAGTCGCGCTCGAGTGAGCAGCGTCACTTCTGTTTCGGCCTGAAATGTGCTCCTAGTATAACCAAATATATAAGCTTTTGAGATGGTTGTGATTTATTTTTATTCCAAGTGAAATGGTTCGCGTTTAGGGGACTATACTCTGTTGTTACTGCTTCAATTTTTGTTGTCTGTGGGAATTTTTCACCGAGAATTTGCTATGACCTGGTTGACCCGTATTTTTTTATTTAAAAAATCAGATTCAATTAAATAGTAATACTATATTTGTTTATTTTAGGATGCTTTGAAAACGGTGTTGGGCTAAAAATTATGTCCAGTTGTAAGTTTCCTCCGACACGAAAATTTATTTTATATGGAATACTTTTTTTAGGAAATTAATATATATGCGAGAATTTCACATTTTAAAATCCAGTTCTGCTAATATCTTGGTTCATGATTTGTCTTGTCTGAAATTTATATATGATCGTTTCAGTGTAACGACTGGGTAAGGCTGCTCAGTGGTTACCGTTATATGGTTACAGTTCATCATACAAGGATTGGAGCAGTGCATTGCAGGTTCGGTTTCCGAGCAATATATAAGAATTCTGTGAAGTCAATAATCGGCGCCATGCGAGATTTTTTCTATTCAGTGCTGACATTTACCATTATTATATTTTCTGAATATTGCTATCATTATTTCTACTGTTCAATTTACAACAAATTCTGTAAGGAAACCTTTGCATTATTCGTTCGATCATTGAACTACTTGATTAATGTTTTCTTCTTTTTTCAAGTGATTCGAATGAATGCTATAAACGGATAAGGTAGTGACAAGTTACAAAGAATGAATTAGAAAAATATATATTAGACAACAAAGGCTTACTTTCTTATGATGTGGAATACTAAGATCAGGGAATGGTTTGATTTTGGGTGTATTCCTGAAACGGTGAAAAATAGTTGCGGTTATGCCCGGTGGAAATATTATTTCTTTGAATTAAGAAATATGTGTGATTAACATCACAATTGTGGAAGTTCACTGAGTGGCAATAATGCTTACAATATGAGTTTCAATATATTTAAAACCGTATGAAATAAAGTGTAGAAGTACGAGTGAAAAATATTAATTCTTGTTGATATAGCCGTGGAGCCAACGCTCTACCTAGACATGCATTGCACAGCTACACTTCAGCTTCAGAGTAGCGAAGTCGCAGACCACGACAGAAACACCAGTAGGCAACGGCTCTAAGTCACTTCGCCGAAAAAAGGATAGTCTTCATTGAGGCCCTATCTCCACATCTTGCTGCTGTAAATTTAGTTATGTAGGGTCCGAAAAATATTGCGCAGGTAAGAGTCGGGGTGAGATTGGAGGTTGGGCCATGCTAGGGTGTGACCTCCAAGAACACTTACTGATTGGATCATTCATTGGCTGCAGGCTTACGGCGCTATGAATTCTAGCACATACCTTCAAAGGCTACTCTGCCCTTCAGCCTGCTTGCGCATGGGAAGAAATAAAATGGTGAAGGTGATATTGGGCAATGCTATCCACGAACCTGCATCCAGCCCAGTTACCGGTTGAATGTGATCTAGTCGAATAAGTGCAAAATGGCAGGCCATTATTTCGTTGAGGTCTATACAGAATAATACTCGGTCCAATTATGAATCCAAGGGTTCAAAGTTACATTATGGGTAAAAGAATGTCGTACTAGGTACAAAGTAGTTTTAGCTATCGCTGGCGAGCTGAAAACACGATTTTTGATTAAAATGAACTATGGACGAAACTCTATGGACCGCCATGAACATGGAGGGAGCGCTATAACCGCCAAAAAACAATGGACTAAATGAGTAGTTCTTTGGCGGTTTGTACACGTTTCACATGAACGCAAGCATCTTTTCCCGCCTGCGTCTTAAAACCGCTTTCTCAGCTGTAGTTTGGTTAACGTAGACATAGACCTACTACGATTTCATTTAAATTCATTATGTTGCATTTTGCATCGTTCAAATTTTCTGAAAAATGTCAAAACTTTATTGAGCAGGGTGAGATTAAGAATCAGATGACCTTAAACTTGATTATTTAGGAGACCCCTGGGGCCCTGGTCCCTGGAGCATGATGAACTCTTTATTGGACTGCAATTAGGCTGGGAAGGGTCCGCTCACTCCGCTGGGTCATCGTCATCCTGCTTTGGAATTTGATCACCTTTTTTCTATGGAGTATTCTACTGCGCCTACACCGTAGTCAGTAGTGTAATTCAATTAATCATAACTTCATGAGCTAATGAGAGCAACCACCACATACCTCATGCAAACCGGTCGATTATCTACTATGTAGCTGGTAAAATGCACTGGATTAAACTGCGATTTGCCCTAAACGAGAGAATTGTTGATAACAAGGAGAGCTCATGCTAGCAAAGAAGAAAATGAAATTAAGAGAAACACGCTGAAGACTTCAACTAAATAACTATTGCTGAGTCCAGGTGTTACAAGCGGTCAACGTGCGACTTCTTTTTCACCTACAACCCGCCATAGTGGCAAATCAGAGCTTTTTTAGAATCAGTTCATTTTTAATTTCCTCATTTACTCAAGATTTAAACCAATTTCTCAAGTATGATAGGTACTGCTGGTAGGCCAGGATACCTACTGCTACTTTACTGGTCTACTTACAGGACTCAAAAATGAACTTGAGGGAGTCAGGGAGAGTCTAAAAAACTCTCTGCTTTGCCACTATGCAACCCGCGACCACCACCACCACCAACTTCATGCATAGTGGCAAACCAGAGCTTTTTTAGAATCAGTTCATTTTTAATTTCCTCATTTACTCAAGATTTAAACCAATTTCTTAAGTATGATAATGCTGGTATCCATGATACTTTACTGGTCTACTTATAGGACTCAAAAATGAACTTGAGGGTGAGTCTAAAAAACTAAATGCTTTGCCACTATGAGTCTTCATGAGCACTAATAATAAATATTTATAAAATATTGACCCAATATTTTATACTAGTTTTTCATAGTAGGCTATGAGATTCAGAGATTGAAGGGGGTTCTGGAGGGCAATGGCTGTCAGTCTGTCACTGAGCAGTGAGCACTGTCCCTCCAAAACTGAGTGCTCAATTTTCAAGTGACATTTATAGGGTAAACGCGGTATATTCCGACATCGTAGCCTCGTAGGTAATTCCGTCACCTCTCCAGCTTTTCCTTTATATTAAGCTTTGTTTTAGTTCCATGCGTTCATTGATGGTTGAAATAGTGACGTCATAGTGGCAAAGCAGAGAGTTCTTTAGACTCTCCTTCAAGTTCAATTTCAAGTCCCTATAAGTAGACCAGTAAAGTATCATGGATACCACATCTATGTACATAGACTTAAGGTTATCTCATTATTAACAACTAGTGTTTTCATTGTTAAGTTATCGAACTACTGAAGAAACCTATCGACTATCGACTGCATAAATCCTATCGACTATCGACTGGCATGCGGTTGTTCAACGACCAGATGACCTTGAGATAAATTTTACAACGACTCTTGTGCCACACTATGAGACCTGGGCTACCCAGTGAGATCATCGAAAAATGTGTCAAATTTGACAGTTGACCACTTGACCTTGCTCTACCAAATAGAGAATAACTGTTTGTATAGGAAGAATATTATGGTTTGAGACTTTTAAATACGTCTGTGAATATATTAGAAATCCTTTAAGTATACTTGTATTTGCTGATTTCAAGTGGTAAATAAATTAATAGATGATTAAGTTGAGAAATGGATTACAACACATGAAAACTAATTCCGTCATAACTTGAATTGGACACACACAGATCGTTCCAAGCTGTGTACAAAAATTAAAATTTGCTTAATTAAAAGCTTAATAGTTGTTAATTAAAAGCTGTATTAAGTAGTACCGGTATTCAATATTCATTAGTGTTCTAATTCAAAGCCGTGTGGCGTGTTGTATTCCAATACAGCTCACAAAGCAAACGGAATTCGAACACGTGGATGACGGCATTATGTATCAGTAGAATTTGAAGCGCGGACGGAATACGCCTCTCCACGTGCCGAATATAGCCACACACAGTGACGGAATATAGGGATTTGGTAGGTTTACATTCTGAAGGCTTTTAAATAAATATGGCAACATTTTGTGACGTTTCGTCATTGCTGACGCGTAGTGCGGTTTTTTTAGAGTCACCTAAAGCAAACAGAACTTGAGTAACGCATACAGTTATTTTTTTATAGTTTTTCATTTCTCGATGCGTCCTTAATGTGACTGAATATACCGCGTTTACCCTATATCATTTGATTGGCAATTAAAAAATCTAGCTATTCTTGAGCCATTTTTTTTTTTTTTGTTTTTGTTTTGAAAATATTTTGAAAAAAAGGGGAGAATTCCAAAAATGTTTGAAAATTCTAAATTTTTCAGAAAAATCTTCTTAACAAGAGAACCAAAAAAAAAACTAAAAAAGTGGCCTGAGAATCGCTAGGTTTGGTCTTTACGCAGCAAATGATATGTGTCTCGATGTAGTAGCATGTGATTTGCAAGTTATTAGGGTAAAAGTGGTATAATTCAACTTGGTAATACTTAAGATTAAGTGCATCCAAAAAAAGGGTGTTTTTTGTAATTATATGTTTTTTGAGGTGTAGATAAAGAATCTGAAATCTGTTTTTGGCGGTCGGCATCAGAAACCAATTTTTTTTCCCCAAGGCTCTAATTCGTCGAAAAAAATCTGGCAAAAATTGGCGAAAAAACTTAACCTAACCATGGTTGCAATGTCGTGGTTGCCTGCAAAGCTGCAATATCATGGTTGGCTTGGTTGCAAGAGTATATGGGTCACTGAGGCTAAGTTAAAAACGCTATAAATACATGGATATTGGGGCCAAGATTTAACTTGCATTTTATCTTAGAAAATATATAAAAATCGGCATATATAAAAATTGGTTTTCCGATGCCGACCGCCAAAAAAGGATTTCAGATTCTTTATCTACACCCCAAAAAACCTATATATGAACAAAAAAAAATGCCTTTTTTTTGGATGCGCTTAATCTAAAGTATAATACCTTCCGACACTTTAAGGACGTAGCAAAAAATGAATGGCTATGAAAGTACACCGTACGCGCAACTTGAGTTCTGTTTGCTTTACGTCACTCTCAAAACACCGCACTACGCGCCAGCAACAATGAAACGTCACAAAATGTTGCCATATTTATTTAAAAGCCTTCAGAATGCAAACCCACCAAATCCATATATTCCAACACTATGTGTGACTAAATTTGGCATTTTGTGAGACTAATTCCAGCGGCGCTACAAACTCTACTAATTCGTAATGCTGACACTCTTGTGTTACTATGTGTGACTAAATTTGGCATTTTGTGAGACTAATTCCAGCGGCGCTTTCTATGTCAAATAGTTTTTGAGTTGTGGGGTTTTTTGTTAAAAAAACGAAAAGTGGTCTATGTTACCCCGCCGGTCTAAGTTACCCCATTTTACGGTAGTCATTTTTTATTTTACATATGTGTAGCAAGTTTGGAGATGATCCTTCCCTAAATATAGAAAATAGATTTTGACCTACATGCTCCCCTTAACATAAAAGTTAAAATATTTTAAATATAAAAAAATACCCACATCTTCCATAATAAAAATAAACCCCCACTCACTTAGCAACTGCTGACTCAATTGCCATTAAGCTCTAGCAACTGCCAACTGGAGTCTAGACCATTCAGCAAGATGTGTGATTTTTTGTGTTTATGTATATCATTTTGCTCCCTAAAATGATCTCTGCAGTAAACTTTGCTTTGTAGTGACTAGTGTGTGATGTTATTATTACAGTCAAGTTTAGTTTGTTGTCTTCAATTATTGTTAAAGAACTAATTCATCTTGTCAGTTTAATTAAATTTTTCAAATGTCTGTTTGATCTTTTGAGTATGTCATATGGTATTGAAAAAGTGAGTATGAATTTCCCAAATTATTACATACTGCCTTTCAATTTTTAAACTTGAACTTTTGGATAAAAACACTGGCCTATATTGATTGAAAGTAAAATATACGAACCACCATTTTTAGAATTTCATCCCAGTTCTGACTGTCAAATCTTATGATATCATGTCATCATGTCATAAATATGGTTTCTGTTGATTAGAAGCAAGTCAAGTGCAGTATATATCTGCAAAGTGTTGACTTGTGTCTCATTGACAGTAGCATGTATTTGGGTTACATCCTTACAGGTTTTGTAGATTGTAAGTGATTGTTAGCAATAGATTAATGAACCTCATGCATTCACATTCTCATTTTGTTCTGAAGCCTGGTTAGGTGCACTAAGTTCAGTTGAAGCCTAAGTTAGGCACACTTAATAGGTGGAGAAAAATGGTTTCCTTTATGTAAGATTTGATCTAGTAGTGCTAAAGACAGAAATTTAGAATGATTAAAGTTTTTTGGGATTAAATCTTTTTGGAAGAGCATGGCATGCAACAGGACAAAATGAGTTCTGCATTGGCATCCTAATAAGTCCAACCATTTATTTTGTACATACATGTGATGCTACCCATTTTATCTGGGTTTTATGAACAACATGCTAGAATTTAGAGAAAACCTGGGTAAGTTAGGCAATTTAGGTATAAATAGGAGTTTTACAACTCTATACAAAGCATTGTTGAATTCCAGTAAATGATGGTTCATATACATTTAAGTATTAGGGTAATTTAATCAATGTATGAATATCCCTTATCCCATTGGGCTTAGTCATGATTGAGTTAATTTTTTTTTTTTTGCTCTGGACAAAAAACTATGATATTTTCCAAAAGATTCAGTACTGCACTGAGAGATGAATGTTCCAAAACACTATGTGCTGCATTCAAAATTTTCCAGTGTTAATACAGCAATATTTTGGTAGCAATTTTTATTGATGAATTCATTCCATGTGTTTCATGCATTTGAAGCTATTTATATCTCCCAATTTGTTGCCTTGCTTGTGGAAGGTTCATTAGTTTGTTGGAATATATATTTGGTTAGTTAATTAATTTCTCTTTTCAGTCTGTAATTTTGTTCAATTCTTGCTCCTCTAATTTTTTGGTGAACTTTTAAAAGCCATGGATAGTGACGATGACTGTCTCATTGGTAAGTGCGGGGAAATAATGTTTGTTTCTCTTTAGTTTGTTCTCTCTGTGTTTCTCTTTTCAGTTTGTTCTCTCTGTGTTTCTCTTTTCAGTTTGTTCTCTCTGTGTTTCTCTTTTCAGTCTGTTCTCTCTGTGTTTCTCTTTTCAGTCTGTTCTCTCTGTGTTTCTCTTTTCAGTCTGTTCTCTCTGTGTTTCTCTTTTCAGTCTGTTCTCTCTGTATTTCTCTTTTCAGTCTGTTCTCTCTGTTTCTCTTTTCAGTCTGTTCTCTCTGTGTTTCTCTTTTCAGTCTGTTCTTTCTGTATTTCTCTTTTCAGTCTGTTCTCTCTGTGTTTATCTTTTCAGTCTGTTCTCTCTGTTTCTCTTTTCAGTCTGTTATCTTCCTATTTCATCAATTGCATACATAATGATTCCAATTGCTGTAACCCAGCAGGTTTTTATGAGCAATGTTTTGTTTATGTATGGAATTATTGCAAATTATAAAAAAATTATTGGGGATAATGGTTTCTGTATTTTATTTGATGATGAGATTTATTACAATGATGTGGCTGGTAAATGTATATATGTATAGTATATATGCCGCAAGTTTCAAAACATTTCTCTTATTAAGGTATGAAATTGCTATGAAAAGAACCAAAAGTTATGTGCTGATTCATAAAATACTTTTTTTTATAAATATTTAATTTTTTATTAGTGTGATGAAATTTGAGTGTACATTGGCATGACAAAACCAGTTATTGTATCAATATATAAACATGTGAACTGTGTATGATACTGTAGCTCTGTTTGTTTTAATACTAGTTACTATTACCTCCATGCCTTACCTTTGTGCTAGAGTTTCAGACTTCCCCTGTACTAAGTCCCTGTGCTTATTTCAGTGAAGGAAGACATCAAGTCTCCTGCAGTGAAGAAACCTCAAGTGAAACCTCTAATGAAAACAAAGCAAGGTGTGGATTTAGTTAAATATTAATTATCTTATATCTGCAAATAGTAATGCTTGGAACATAATTGTATAAAAAAAATTTAAAGAATTTATTGGTATTTATTTATTATTATTCATAATAATAATACTATGCTTGTTTTGCTTGCTCATTTGTTTTTTGCCAACAGGAAAATATTTTTTCAAATTTATAAAGAAACTTTATTTGAAATATAAACCTTGCCATATTCCCTTTAAATATGCAAGTATCATAATATAAATTAATTTTTTTAAGTAATTAAATTTCGTTGTTTTAATTTTTTTATATTACCGTATTATTTTTTGTATGATGGCAGCGGTTATGGGCATCCAATGCCTTTGTTGTGATTGGACCATGTTTTCTCCCTGTGCTTTAAGATCATTTCATTCTGTCTCATTTCTCCCTTCTTCATTAATTACACATAAAAATTTTTTTCAACATTTTTTGTCATATTAAATCATGTTATTTTTATGTTTATTACACAATTTATGGTTTTTACAGTTTTTATCATGTAAATATTTGAGCCTTCTTGTATGTCATTGTATGATTGTCTGGGAAGATATATATACTCATTTGTACTTTGAAAATCATTCATAAATACATAATGTAAGAGTTTGTTTGATTTCTTATTGAAATAATTATCTATCCTAATTCAGTCTTTGTGCACTAAAAGCCTTGAAAATGTCTTCTAATTGGGTATATTTTATTTCAGCACGTCTATCATTTGTCCGACTTCCTGGCAAGAGCCCTCGTGATAGCCATGTCACCACCGCTATTGCTGCAAAAGGTAAAGGCACAAAACCTCGCTCAGTCTCTCCTGCTAAAATAAGGAAGAAGCGCCAGCGTTCAGGACCTTCTACGCAGGCTGATCAGCCTAAACCTAAGAAAGCTGGGCGGGTTGTTCCCATTAGAAGGTAATTTAATGATAAAGACATCACATCAAAAGCCTCTGCATGATCTTCATTTACAATAAAATGTAGCCTTGCTCTGAATTGTTATTTCAAAATGTTTGTGGAGATTTTGTTTTATTCAAATTTGTCCGAGCCTAAATAGATGCTGTTGATGTTCCTAAATAGATGTTGATGTAGATGATCCTAAAATACTGAACTTATTTGTGCAGGAAATGTGCTTCTTCTGATGAAGACAAGAGCAAATTAAACCCGTTGAATAAAAAATGCAAACCTGTGACAGAAGAAGAGAAGATCGAACCTGCCTCTTTGTCTCTCCTCCAGAAGTTTGTTTGCAAAAAGCCTACCCACCAAGATGAAGTGTCCACATCTGATGAGACTTATAAGGGTAAAGATAACTCTGAACGACATGGAAATGATTCAGCTATTGATGTTGCAGGGGATGATGAGGATATTAAGTGTCCTGCTAAGAAAGATTCAAGTGACAGTAATGGTGCGGCAGAGGATGAAATGTGCACCCAAGTCGATGATTCTGAAGCAGCCAAATCAGGAAGAAAATCAGTTTTAGAAGTAATTGAAAGTGTTGTAAACAGAGGAGGCAGAGCTTCTGTCAAAACGCGTGATAATAATAATGATGCACTTGAAGATGAATTAACTAAGAGTAACAAGCGGAAAATTAGCAGTGACACAGATAAATCTCCTAGCTGTGAAAAAGAGAACTGCGCCAAGCCACCATCACCTAAGAGGAGCAGAAATGTACTCACTGCATTTATACAAATGGGAGGCAAAAAGTCTCATAAGGGCGTAAGCTCAACATTGCAGGATACTAGCCCTGATTCTGTAGCTGAAAGTAAGTCATCAACCTCTGCAGAAAAGGAGAAAGTGATGGCAAATGCTGATCAACCAGTAGAAACTAGTACAGCTAAGGAGGAGGTAGAAGATAGTAACAGAACTCATCCTGAAGTAATAAAACCCAACAGTAAAAATTGCACGATGTTGAAATATTTTAGCAAGAAAAGTTCGGAATCTGATCTTGCAGTGACAGCAAAAGCTAAGAACAAGTCCAAGTCTCCTCCTTGTATGGAGAAAGAAAGTACAGCAGCCTCTATGTCTGATACAAACAGTACAAATGAATCCTCATCTGCTTCGCTGCCTGAGGATAGTGATGAACCTGCATCGCCATCACGTTCAAAAAATGTAGTGGGAACTCAAGCAGATGCTACAAGCAGGAAGATGATCACTCCAGCTCGGAAAACTGTTCAAGACAATGAAGGCTGCGCTGAGGCTGCTACACCAAAAACTTGTAAAAATAAACTAACTCCTAAGGCTGCAGCCAAACTTGCAGAGAAAAAGCTGCGAGAAGAACAACGTCTCAAGGAGCATGAGGAGAAGCTCAAAGAGAAGGCTAAGAAAGTAGCTGAACGATTGAAATTAAAAGAAGAGAAGAGAATGGAGATTGAGAAACAACGATTGGAAAAAGAGGAACAGAAGAAGAAAAAGCAAGAAGAACAGGAGTAAGTAACTGATTTGTTTAAGATGTATTTGACTTTATTTCATTACTAAAATTTGAGGTATGGTTAGAATTAAAATATTCAGGATTATGCAAAATCCTGTAGTTATATAACTGTCAAGTACGTATGGAATGTATCAGATTTGTTCATGTTGCATTTTTGCTATTACTAGCAGGTAATACAGCTTCTTCGATAAATTACTTGGTGCCTAATTGTCTTGATTATCATTACGAGCATAAATTAGTTGTAGAGAATTTTGTAAGTTTTAATTTATTCAAACTTCAGAATCAAGAATAGAGAAAAGGAAGAGAAGCGGAAAAAGGTTGAAGAAGAGAAGCGTGCAAAAGAAGAAGATAAACGGTCTAGGGAAGAAGAGAAGAAGAAAGCTGAGCAAGAAGAGGAAGACCGTAAAAAGAAGGTGTGAACAACCTCTGATTGCTGATTAGAATTGGGTCTATCCCAGTGGTTCCCAAACTTTTTCAGGCTGGCGCCCCCTTTGGCTCCCTAGTGAATTTCTATCGCCCCCCACTAACACATATAAAATCATACGCCTCATTCTTGAAATTTAGTACGCTGCAGTTTTAAAAGATAAAGGTTAAAGACAAATGTGTAATTCACAAATAGAACCCCGTTTAGTGAACCAATATGTTTTTCAGCTGTTTTAACTATTTCAGCAGTAGAAACAAAGGACGTCTAAGGCAAATTTACGGCCGGTCGCACGACCAATCTCCAAATTCAATTATCAAGTAATATCTACCAAATTAATGAAGGCAGCTCAATGAAACTTGGAACATGTATTCATCAGAACCTAACGGTGATGTTTAGCTCGTAAAAAATTTTCAAATTTCACCTCATTCGTGAGTTATATTGCGATAAAGGCCGAAATTCGCAGTGATCAAAGAATTTCTTCCTAACTACTGAACAGATTCACTACCAAACGGTGATTTTTTCGCTTTTAAAAAATTTGTCGATTTTACCTTCGTTTGCGAGTTTTTTACATTTCACCGTCATTCTTGATTTCACACTTCCTTATATTCGGTAATCGGCTCGTATCGCCGGATAATTTGTCTCTTACATTCGCGGCGATCAAGAAATTTCTTCTAAACTACTGATCAGATTTCAACGAAACTTTGTATATAAATATCTAACTTCCCACCGGTGATGTTTAGCTCGTGACAATTTTTATATTTTGCTTTCGTTCGCGAGTTATACAGATATAGTATATACTGATATATAGCCGTATAACTCGCAAACGAAGGCAAAACGAAAAAATTTTAACGAGCTTAACATCACTGTTGCTGATGTTTGTTATTTAAATACTAAGTTTCATTCAAATCGGTTCAGTAGTTTTGGAATAAATTTCTTGATTACTGCGAATTTAAGCACGTATTGCTGTTTGAATCAAGACTGAAGGTGAAATGAAAAAAAAACTCACGAACGAGCTAAACATTACCGTTCGGTAGTTAGGACTGAAAATTCAGAATTTCGTTCGAATCTGTTCAGTAGTTTGGAAGAAATTCCTTGATCACTGTGAATTTTGGCCCCAAAGTGCCATATAACTATATGGCAAAAACAAATGAAGGTAATAAAAAAAATCACGACCTAAACATTACCGTTAGGTCCTAATGAATACGTGTTCCAAGTTTCATAGAGTTTGGTTCACTAGTTTGAGAGATATTCCTTGATCATTGAATTTGGAAATTGGCCGTGAGACCGGCCGCGAGTCCGACCGTTAATTTGTCCGAGACGTAAACCCGAGAGAGGTTAAAAAACAGATCTGGGTGAAAAACCATCGCTGGGAGTCATGCGCTGCACTTGCTGTGTACAAATCGTCAAACAAACGTTGGGACTTCTGACTTTGACTTCAGACTTCTGCCCCCCAAACGCCCTCTTCTTCCTTACCGCCCTCCAAAATCTTTCCACCGCTCCTAGGGGGGCGATATCGCCCACTTTGGGAACCACTGGTCTAGGCTCTGCCTCGAGGCGGGGAGGGTCAACAACAACAACCTCAGATTACTGTCATTACGTTCTTCTTTTATTATCGTTTGAACTTTCCTCATTTCTTGTTTCTTATGAATTAAATTTGTATTTTGCACCACATTTTTTGTCATTAAATGTAGGGTATTTTGTGATATTTTTAATTTAGGTTTTAATTCATTCATTTTTTACAGGTGGCTGAGAAATTTGCCAATTTCTTCAAAACCGGCAAGGAAGAGCCTGCACAAAAAACTGTTGAGGCTAGAGACAACTCTGGACCTTTCCAACAAATGCAGGTACAATAAATTATTATTCATTCCAAAATAAAAATTTTTAGTTAATTAAAAGTAAATTTATATATAATTCTTTAAAAAGACTATTAAAAAAATGAAGTTAAAACTAAGTGGTGTTGTTCAGGTTTGCCGCAACACAGCACTGGCCCCAACACAGCGCACGCGTCTCAGTGACGACGCCCGCGCATTTCTGGACGATCTCCTTGGGGCCACACCAGGCGACGCGCTCACTACTTACTTGGACGCCCTGCGCTCTGGTGAACATAAACCCATGACCTGCGCTGCCACTCCTCCTGCTGTCATCATTCAAGATTCCAAAGATGATTGTGTTATCATTGGTGAGCATTTACTGTAACTTATTTTAACTCTAGTTCGTCTTGAAACACTTGAGGTATAACTGTGATTTAGTATTGACAGTGCAAGATGTTATGAAAGTAATAACAGATTGACAATAAATCGTGAACATCATTGGAATCCGAGATCATTTTGTACTTAAAAAATGTCTTCTTTACGTGATTCAACATTTAATTTACTAACGTTGTTGGCTGGATGTAGCAGTAAATTTCCTGCTGTTCATTTTATTTCCTGCTGTTCATTTTTATTTCCTGCTGTTCATTTTTGTGTTTTTTATATATTTGAGAACATTTTCTTCTCATATCCGCTATGCATCTTTGCTGCACATTTCAGTCTATTTTATTTTTTTTTTGTTAGTTTTTGCCCTTTCTTAGCCTCTTCGTAGTATAATAAGCACTCGCTAGTCAAGCCCTCTCATGGAGACCTTCCCAGTTGATTTATTTTCATGTCAATAATGCAGAGCAAGAGCCTGAGGACGATGATGACGAGGACGGCTCCGACTTTGCTAGCGAGGACATGGTCGTATGCAGGGAGAAGAATATTAAAGACGCCAAGAACCACAGAGGCAAACTCCTCAAGTTCTGCGAGAATCGCCGTCCTGCGTACTGGGGCACCTGGACTAAAAAGCCTGCTGCTGTGGGACCTAGGAAACCTTTTGCTAAAGAGGAGGTAGGTTGATAACATACAAGCACTGGCGCAGAATGTGCGTTGTAAGCCGAGCTTTCCCTTGTCAGCGGCCGCAAGTGTCATAGGCCGCGACACGATCTTTTCAAGAGTTTGCTGTCAATTGGTCTTATTTATGCAGATATACTGTTCTAATCTAGGTTCATACACGTCTTATGTTGCCTAAATCTTTATTTGCATTTGGTTCCTCAATTCTGATTTATGACATTTTCTTCCTTCTTAGTCAAGTTCATAGTATATAAGCATGTTTTTTTAAACAGATTTATTGTGGAGACATCAAGAAACTCATTTAATCTATTTAGAATTGGTTTGTTGGTAGTTTAAGTTTTGAACAGATATTGAGTGAGTACCATGGAAATGATTCTTTCTTTGCATTAAATTTTGGTCGATTTTTCAAAATAAAATAGTCTGACCAATGTGTAATAAATTCACTTCCTGTGAACAGATCTTTGACTATGAGTACGACAGCGATGATGACTGGGAAGAAGAAGAAGAGAATGGTGAGAGCTTGAGTGACAGTGAAGGCGAGAAAGAAGATGGTGAGGACGAACAATATGAAGTTGACAACGATTTCTTTGTCCCTCACGGCTACCTCTCAGACGATGAGGGTCAGGATGATAAACTCGATGGTTCGGAGGACAACACTGCTGAGGAAGACGGTGCTCACAATGATGCTCCTGCACTCATTGATAACAAGGTGTCAGCCATTAATATTGTGTGCTACTTCACCTTCCTGATGATAACATTACACTCACCACTCTTTGTTGACGAGGTTGGCTGTTTCAATTTAATTTCACAATTATTTTGGGCGAATGCATGTGCTTTTTTCATTATCAAACTATTCTTTAAATTTGAAATTTATTTCTCCTAACCTATTATGTATTTGTGAAAGGCTGTTCACGAATATTTTCCAAGCCTGGTGTGTGTATAAGGGAGTTACTCAAGCTTTTATTCACAATATATACGCGTTTTGATATAGCTGGACGTGAAATTATAATTTTACTTGCAAAGTTATTAGGTGCATCAAGAAGCCTATGTGCTGGATTACAAAATTTGTGATATTTAATTTAGCACTTATTAATTTTATTAAAAAGCATGAATTTCAACTTTTGTTCACATTTTAGATCGCGAGTTTAATGAGATTTCCGTTTTGAACTGGACTGTCCCTAAATAACATTTCTTAGGTTCGAAAATTTTTGATGTGGTTGGGGGGAATGGTATTTTCATACATAAAATTTATCTAGTCTAACCAAACCACACAAGGTTAAGCTGCTAGTATTAAAATGCTGAGCTTCAGTTTTTCTGAAATAAGGTTGAATTTATTGAATGAGATTATTTTATAGTTAGTTAAATAGGATTTTTAGCGCATTTTCTCATCTATGAAAAAATGCACTATTGTGCTCGCAATGTCCGTCCGTCTGTCCGTCCGTGACTTGATGTTTTCGTCGACGAGAAAATGCGCTATCTGTCACTCACTGCAGTGAGTACTGAGTTATTTTTTCCGTTTTATTTCTGATTGCCATGCCATCGTAAAACAGCCGACTATATCATAGTCATCATATGTATACTGATCTATTGATGTAACTTGCAGGAAAAGCTAAAGGCAAAGCAAGCTGAGTTTGAGAAGGAGCTGAAGAAGCAGACCAAGCAGCTCAAGCCACGCGTTCTGGGGTGCCTCTGGCTGCACGAGGAGGAACAGTCCAGCGGAGCTGGTTTGTTCTTTAGCGCACGTGTTTTGTTTCCATACTTAATTAATCTATTTTTCTTTTGCACTAATTATCAAGATTGTTATTAGTTTCGTCTGTATCATGATTTAGTATAATTCATTGTGGACTGTTGAATGACATGCTGGGAAGAATAATTTCAATCTATTTTCTACATCTAAACAAAGATGAACATACAACAGACATCAAATGTTCAACACCGTTCTTATTTTAGAGAAAAGTAATGAAGTTCCTGCAAGCATTCTTAACTCACCGTGGCAATAATTGGCTGCCGCATATAACAAATTTTACTGCCGCTTTCCCCCCTGTGCCATCTCGCCCTTGTCGTGGGGGAGGGGCTTGCGTGTCTCAATGAGACCCGAGGCTGTGCGGTCTCGGATGCAATCATGGCCGAGTGGCTCGGGTGGAGAGTCCAGACTAACAGAGATGGCAAAACGCCCTTCTGGTAACGACCTGGCTCTCTTACGGATACGCAAAGACCTTTCGCTGGATTGACGAACCCTGGCAGGGACCTAGACCCGACCCGCAAGCTTCAATAGTCATGCGTGGCAAGGGTTAGCTGCGGGACTCCTGGGCAGGCGGGGGGCTGCTTAAACACCACGCAATCGGAGTGGCGCCCGTCTTGCAACGTTAGTCAAGTGCACAACCTGCTGCGCCTACGACAACCAAAGCTACATCCGAGCGTACGAGTGTTCCCGTGAAACTACGTGTGCTTGACACCAGGGATCTCCTTGTTGGAGGCAGATACACGGGTGCCTGCTCAGCGCGTCGGACGAACCAAACAACCCGGACCAGGAAAATGACCTCTTTGAATGCGCCTTTTGTACCCGATACCCCGACAACGGAAACGACCTGGACCCTCACTACGGAACCAACCTTGACCTCACCTACCTCCACGTTGATCTCGACGCTGGAGCCGTTTGTTCCACACCCCCAGGCCCCTGGGCCTGGCAGAGCCGGGCAAAACAAGAAATCTAGACACCAAGGGACATGGAAGCAAATGCAGCCAACCCTATAAGCCCGCATCCAAGACTACCCTCATTTCTTCCGCGTCTCATCGACGACTGGTGAGAACCTGGCTGCCATTGATGTAGTCCAGGCCAACCGGCAACTAGTCCATTCTCTGGGCAGTGAGCCAAAAAATGTGCACGAGACCCGAGACGGAGCACTCATAGTAGAAATACAAAACAGAACTCAGAACAACTCAATACTTAACATTAAGACACTGGCAGGTTGTTCTGTCACCGTAGAGCCACACGGTACACTGAATGAAACCAAAGGAACTATTTATTACCGTAATGAGCCCAAGTATACTGTTGAAAATTTGCAAGAGCATCTTAGTCACTGTAAGGTTAAATCGATCTATCAAATGAAAAAGAAGATGCATGGAGCCCTAGTGGACCTACCATTATATGTACTCACATTTGCAACATGCAAGCTCCCTGCCGAGGTGAAGATTGGGTGGCACCGATGCTCCGTGAGAGAGTACATCCCTCGCCCACGCCGATGCTATAAGTGCCAGCGCTTCAACCATGGAGCCAAAACCTGTAGATCAACCACTGCTAATTGCCCCAGATGCTCTGAATAAGCACACGAGTTGCCGTGCCTCCGCCCGGCGAAATGCCCCAACTGTGGTGAACCACATGAGGCATCCTCAACTAACTGCCCCCATTATAGACTTGAACAGGAAACTTTAGCAATTCAAATCAAACAAAAACTAATGTACAGAGACGCCAAGCGTCAGGCGAGTGCTCTAGTTATACGACCAGTCACCACCTACGCATCCATTCTACGCAAGCACCAAGGTCCTGATCGCGTGCTGAATTCGAGACGGACCACCGAACGAAGCTGCGACGTTGTTGCGGCCACCCCAACATTGGAGCCACCACGTGTGCCTCCCACTGACGAAGCCCAGGAGTCCAGAACTTCGACCTGCTCTAATGCTATGACCCAAGCGGACCAAGTCGATACCTCCCTTCCTCCTCCCGTACTGGCAGGAACACCACCCTCATCATCCACCTCCAAACCCTCGACGGCGCCAGCACGCCGTCGATCACCGTCTCGCGCTGTCAGACGCCCGCGAGACCGATCCAAGTCTGTAGAAGGCGAAGGCGCAGCCAAACGACATGGGGCATCGTCCTCGTCTTTGCTAGCGGACTACCCCATGCCACCAAATGTACCCACTTTCCTACCCAAACCGATATCTATATCTAAACTGAATAGTATCCCTGTTGTCTCCTCGGGACGGCCCTCGAGCAAGCCCCTTCGAGTAGAGCCATCAGACATCTCAATGGACACACGCCCTCCGGAACCCTAACTGTGAAATGACAATACTACAATGGAACTGCCGCGGATACCGCGCAAATTCCAGTGAATTTCTGCCACTGCTCAATAACCTCGGACTGGCCTACGTGGGCCTCCAAGAGAGCTATAGTAGCAATTTGTGCCCCGGCCTCCAAGTGGATACAGCGTCCTCACCCACTCGCAGGCTGCTCGGGGCGCTCCGGGCGATGGCCTAATGTGCTTCATAAGTAACGACCGAGCATTCCAGCGTATAGCCCTCCAAACCCCACTCCAGGCAGTCGCGGTGCGCCTCCAGCTCCACCGGCTGCTTACAGTCTGCAACATTTATGTCCCTCCCCGGTACCCTCTTTCCATATATGATCTCGTACAGCTTAGCCGCCAACTTCCGCTCCCTTACCTGATCATTGGGGACTTTATCGCCAGAAACCCAATATGGGGAGATACAAACACCAACCAACATGGAGACATCGTTGAGCAATTTTTAGTGGAGGCTGACCTTTGCCTTCTCAACACAGGAGCCAAGACACGATTCTTCACCCAATCGGGAGAATCATCGGCGCTGGATCTGTCCTTCTGCTCCCCCGATATCGTGCTGGATTTGAGCTGGCGGGTGATGGACTATCTGCACGGTAGTGACCATTTCCCAGTCATCATTAATGTGCTTCCATGCCCCCCTATACATCGAACCCCCAGATACCTGCATGACAGAGCCGACTGGGATGTATTCCGGCGGTTCACGCAGGTCTCCTTTTATGACAACCAAATCCGTAATTTACCTCTCGCCCAATCGATTGACAAACTCATCTCCTTGATCCACGCAGCAGCTAATTGTGCAATACCTAAAACACAGGGAACCCGAAAGCGGCCAAACCCATGGTGGACGCCGGCCTGCACGCTAGCAAATCTGGAACGAAAACGAGCGCTGCGCCGCTTCCAAAGATCTGGCCTAGTAGCTGATAAAATCGCATTCAGCCGAGCTCGGGCGCTGGCGCGGAAGGTGAAGAAGGACGCCCGCTCGACCTCCTGGCGACGCTATGTGTCGGGAATCAATTCGGACACCACCCCATCAAAAGTGTGGAACAGAATCAAAAAGATGTCTGGGCGCTACAGCCCGCAGCCCTCCCCATTCCTGGTACACAATGGAGAACCCGTCTCAGAACCACGTGCATGTGCTGAACTCATCGCTGACCACTTCGCTTCGGTGAGTAGCCGGGACCGTCACACGCCAGCCTTTCGCCAGCACCGCGACAGAATGGAGGCACACCCCCTGGATTTCTCAACAAGCGACACCCAAACGTATAATGACCCTATCACCATGACCGAGGTCAAAGGTATGCTGAAGCAATCCCGTCGAACAGCTCCAGGAGCCGACCAGGTCACCTATCAGATGATTGAACACCTACATGCAACAAGCCTGGAGTGGCTCCTACATATCTACAACAAAATCTGGATCGGCNGTAGCTATAATGTTGACCGCCTCGCAGAGTACCTGAGAGCAATAAACATGTTCGACTGTATATGATCTGGCCAACGCTGAATACATGTGATGCAATATGTTCTTAGCCCATAATGCCCAACGTGACATTCGGCGCGAGATAGCTTAGCAGCTGAAGCGCTAGTAATCATAGGGTCACTAAACTAACACTAACTAACTTACTGCCGCTTTGCTTGTCCTGTTTGGGAAGCAAGTGATGTATATATATATATATATATATATTTTTTTTTTTGCAAAGCGTGTCTTGAAATGTTATTGAACTTTCATGTTTTGTTTCATGCTGTTGTTTTAAGCATGGATTGCAAGAAGACTTTGCATCGTAGAAATGTACTAGCATTGAAGTCGCATGTGCTAAAATACATTCAATGTTCATATGATTTCTTCTCGTGTAGAGTAATATTTTTATCGAGAGACTGGTAGATGTGACATAGATTCAATGCTTCACTATTTTATGGGTCAGGATAGCTGGGGAGGTGAGAGTGGCTTCATTAAGCCCATTTATGATGGCGTACGCTCCCTAAAATATTTTTATTCTTCCCTTAATAATTGTGTTACTTTTTTTAAATAAAATTATCTATTTATGAATAATAGCAAATACTATAATATGTAGTCTGAATATAAGTTCAAATAAATAGTGATACAACCAATCATAATTAATTTCAATATGGTCATAAATCTTAGGTGCTAAGCTCCTCTATCCTTAAAACCTTGCAACGCCCTAGTAAGGGGACCAAACCCACCTAAATCACCTTTTAATTGAAGTGAAATATAAATAATTTCACAAGATACATCCTGTTCATTTCTATCCTCTGTAATGGGCAGAGATGACCTTTCAAACTTTTACCCTGTTGTATAATTTCACTTGTGTTTTACCTAAACAATTTTATTGCAGCGTTTGATCATCTACACCGCGTGTTGAGTGGCTACAGCGTCGTGATCTGCACACCACCACCCTCACCTCCCGCTGCCAGCGACAGCACTGAGCCTCCTGCCACCTCAACACCTGCAGAAACTTCCGTCACTGATAAGGTTATCCGAGTTGATTGATTTCATTAGAAAAATAAATGCTGATAAAATTTTTCCACTTTAATGTTATTATACGTTCGCTATTAAAGCCAATCCTTAATTATGCATGTTTGTTATCCCTTAAGAGAATAGCCTGCTGCAACGTATTGATATCACAGCATTTAAGAATGGGTGTTTTCCATTCATACGTTATTACTATCTTGTGGATGTTGTGTGGAATCCTAAAAATGCATTTCACTAATTCTGTATAAAAAATATCACAAAACTCGCTGTGACAGGAAGCAGCAGTGGAGCGTATGCACAGTTGGTACCTGACACTACCAGGCATCCCGTGCGTGGCGTTAGGCTCGCCTCAACCTGAGCAGCACAGCGCTTCTGATATAGACACGCCCCTCACTGCCACCGCCGGAGCCAGCAAGCTCAACTTCCGCAAGACCTTCCCTGAAGAAGGTTCGTATTGACTCTTGTTCAGAATGGATTTGCAGCCGGAGCAAGGTCGTGTTTCGTGAATTTGCCCCGAAGAAGTTTGGTATTGAGTGATGTTGGGAATGTAGTTGTAGTTAGAGCAAGATGATATTTATTAAATTAGTCCTGAAAAATATCAGTACAGATTTACGCTGAGAATGAACTTGCAGACGGCCCATAATGCTTAGAATACTAATTAACTTTTTTGAACAGGCCGAGGTATTTGTTGCTTGCTGGGAGGTTACATTCTGTTGCATTTAAAAAAATCCTAATCATACCGAATCCGAAATTGGTTGCACAACTATCCCTTATATCATAAATCGATTTGCACTCGGCATTGTGTGCCTCGAATTTAAGGCTGGAATTCGTTACCAAGTATTTCTAATTTATTCATAATATCACGATATCGTTTTTTGTGCAGCAATACCATCACTAATTCGTCTGATACACGGCAACCGTCACAGTCAACGGTACCTAGTCGAGGAGTTCTATCAGTTTTGGCAGCTAAAAATGCAAGATTCTGCTGCTTCAGATAATCAACACGCATCTACGCCTAATTCATCTCGTCTCCAGGGGTCCAGTGAGTCAATTTTTCTTAGAAGTTACTATTACCTGAACCTTCTTTCACTTAGGTTCCTCTCTGGTATAAACTTTTCATTCATGCTACTACCATGTCATAACTTTAAATTTGATTCTTTCATTGCTCTTTTAGTATTTAATTCTGCTCTGAATCATCTCTCCACATAGATATTTTTCTTTGGGCATTCGTGACTGGATTTTTCAGCGCCAGAGAATGAGTACTCAGAACATTTTTTGTACTTGGTAATAGGGCCTTATTAAGAGACGGTTTTGAAATTCCTTACATAATTACATTTTCATGAGTTACACATTGTACGCAATATTTTTATACTTGCAGATGTGTTGTCTAAGATGAAGATCAAGGCTAAAATAGCACTGCTGGGATGTTACAAAAAATGTCCTGAAGAAGGTCCTTTCAGCCATCGCGCCATGTGGTGAGTTAGTCCCATTTGATTCAGTATAAACATTCATACAACACAGCTGCCAGTTTTCGCGTCAACGCTTCTCGCGACCTCATAAAGCGTGTTATTTATGAACCCTAGAATGTCTTTAGATAAAGACATTCTTTGTGCATAATTGAATATGCATGCATTAAAATCTCATACATTCAAGATTGATCAGCTTGCCTTCCAGTTGAATGCATATTTCACTCGGAGAGGTGTTACAAAAGTCATTTACCTCAGGTACGTTAATGCTGATGTCCGGCAGCAGTACGGGCTACAAGACCTGGCACTGCCGAATGAATGGATTTACTGCACAGGCAAACCAAAAGACAATCGTTTCAAAGAGGATAGCATTTGTGGAGACTCGCCGACTTCTGTCAGGACTACAAATCTCATCTCTAAGTTCACCAAAGTGCTCACTGACCAAGAAAAGTCTGCTCTCGTCGCCAGCAAGAGTAGTAATGGAATAATGACTCCTGATAACAACATTTCAAAAGGAAGTAGCCAAGTTCTGGGAGGATTGTCGCCTAATGATGTTGACCATGCAAAGAAAGAAAAGAATGTCACGGCAACTATTGACAAGAAATCTAGAAAGAAATCTGGTGTCGGTAAATCCACAGCCACAGAAAGCGAAAAACTTTCCAAGACAACCTCTCCTAAAAATTCGCCATTGCTGGCATTCTTCAAAACGCCCCAGCGTTCCACCTCGAAAAAAACGCCGGTCACTGGTCTTCCAACTGAGGGGGCAAAGGGTGGCAAGTCAACTATATGTATAGAGGATGATGACTGCATCACTCTAGATTAATTTGCTTCTAAACTGAATTCGAGCCGATAATTCCTTTTCTATATAATGAGCAAAACTGCTCCAAATATTGCATCTCTGCTCCATTCGGTTAAATCTCCTATTTTAAAAATTTCACTCGCAGAACTTTTATTCTTGTGTGCCTGTCAATTTAGAAAAACCTTCTTTTATCCGTCTTCTAGAAGAATACCAGATGCGAGTGACCGCGTGTATCTTTTTTCCGATTGCCGAAGGTTTATTAATTTGGGCCTGAATTCTTCACTTAGATTAAATGGCAGTTACATTCCTGTCTTTGAATGTTCTGTATGTAGTTTTTATTTGAGATAAGATTTTTCTTCGTGTCTAGCTTAATATTTTATTGTCAATTACCTGCCCTTGTCATTGCAGGAGAATATTCACTATCTACCATCTAATATATCGATATAAGTAATCAAGTGCAAAATCGTTGGCAAACACGAGAATTGATATTTTTCGAAAATATCTATTGAACGAACATCTTTCTGACATTAACTTTTTACATTATTCTTAAAATATGTGCCTCAGTTATATTTGTAACCAAATTCACTTATGTCAAAAATGTTAATGATATTTTTATAGATTACAAATATTCTTCCATATTTTAGAACTGTTCAATTCAAATTAAATGTTTTTTTCCTCTTAACATTTTTCTACCTTGGCCGCGTCATCGCTGTTCTCTCAAACATTAGATTGAGCTGGTGAAAACATAGCCGCGAGCAGAGAGCTTCCGAATGAGTGTGAAGATAATGTCCACTCTCAGTAATGCTTTTAGATTTGCTTAAGAACTTATCTTGAAATTGATGATTTTGAAGAGTAGAAATGTTGTTTCCTTGAAAGGAAATTGTAGCAGAAATTAAATAAAGTTCAGTGAGACGTCAGATTCACCTCTTGTATTTTTGAGTGGTCTTTCCTCAGACCAGATTTCACATGCAACTGTAGATTACTACTAACACTAATAATTGAAGAACCTCAAAACGTCTGCTTTAAACCTAACAATTTTTATGAATTTATCCAGTTGTTGATAATCTGGGCAAACGCCTTGATAGTTTTCACAGATTTATTACATTTCTCGTTTGGTAGTGTTACTATTTCTTATAAGTAGTCTTATTTTATTAGCGTTTCAGCGCAAGTAAAACTCTATCTTAAAAGGTGAGGCCGTGATTTGCCCGCAGATCGTGACCCCCGGCATGATTTCTTTGATAGTTTCGATTTGAATATCGCTCTTGCTGTGCCGCACTTTCCCGATGTATTCTTTCTTGCCTTGAATCGAAAAAGGCGGATTGAATGTCCACGAGAGGAGATTGCTGTGTGGGGTAGGAACTTTCCCACACGTGCATTGGTGTCCCATGAACTCGCCATCCACAGCCTCCATGATAGCTTTGCCCTCAGAGTCCAGCAGCAGAAGTTGCCCGTCCCGAGGCAAGAAACCGCTGCTTATCTGCACACTCTTCATGTAAATGCTCGATGAGAAATATAACTTGAACCCAAGGCCTTGCCTGTAGCTCTTGTTTCCCAGGTCCGAGTTCTTGGATTTCTTGGAATTGTGTGGACAGTTGGTGAGAACCTGCAGCAATCCGTCGTCGAACACCGTCTGGCGAGGCCCCATGAGGCTGCAGTAGAAGGTCGTAGGCAGCGGGGCGTTGCGACCACGGATGTTCATCAAGATCGAGACGCATTCGTCCGCGGTCAAAACTTGCGACGGAGAAACTTTGTCGAGGAATTCCTCCGGGGTCATGGCCAGGAACCTAATGAGGGGCAAGAACTCTTCTACTTGTGACCTCACGTCCGTACCTTCGCCCTGGCTCTTAAGGGCATGCTGCCCCCTGCAAAAATTAATTACTGTGTATATTTTGCAAGGGATTTATATTGATGCCTATTAACTGAATCCAAACTTCGCTTTTTGTAGTTGCAGTCTATTAACTACACTAGCAATGAGTGGGTATTTTTATCTAGAGATTTTTCTTTCTTTAAGTCCTATTCAGGTTTTTACTCATGCGCGCCACTCATTCCACTATCACGAAACCACATATTTATCCAATTCGTTCATTTCTTACACTACATGTTCATTACACTACATGTTAACCCAATCAGCCGTACATTCCACGTGTATCGATTACAACACCGTTTATCCAAGTCGATCATTCGTTACACAATCACGATTCCTCATAGATAACCATGCACTCGATATTTCCATTGACCATAACGATGTAGAATAATTGAATGGAGGTCCAGGTAACTCACCAGTCGACGACGGCCTGGAAGAGGGAGCACTCGCTGGAGAGGCACAGTCTGTCCTGTTCAAGCAGGTGGTACAGCGCCTGCCGCGGCAGGGCTCGCATCACAGCGCTGCGGCCCTGCGCCCACGCCCCACTCGCTATCTGCACTCGAGCATTGGTAGCAGCGGAACGTTATGCATTGAATTAATGTGAACCCTTCATTTGCTATAGATATTGCACTTAAGAGTTATAAACTACGAAAAGTGCTAAGCATGAGCTTGCTATTTGCACTCACGCCTTAGTAGCAGCAAAAAGTATTGTATTCGAAAAATGTTTACTCTTCATTTGCCATGTTTTACTTGAGAGACTGCGAAAAATATTTAGACATTAGTCATTGCGAAGCGTTTAGTGATAAAAAAAATTCAATTTTCGATGCTCGCTGCGTATCGATCAAGAGTTATGGAGCGTGACCAACGTTCATGGCAAATTTTATTGTTCAAGAACAATAAGGAAACGCCAATCGTTGTTTACGATTAATTGTTTAGTTTGGTTAAAAAATATGACAGCTGCTTTGAACTCCAGCATCCATTCATGGTATTAATGCAGTTGAAGCATACCAAGGTGTTATTGTAGTTGAAGTTAGAACACAAACATAGTCAGATTTTTATCCTCATCAGTTAGTTTTCGTTTGTAAAATACTTTGTAAATTATATATTGTTTATCTTGTGTAACGGGAAGAAATAAACTGTATAAAACGTTCACCTGAGCGCAGCGCGAGGCTAACTCCATGTCCCCACACGTCATCGCGCCCTGGTACGCGAAGTGGCAGTTGTCGGTGCTCACTTTGTGTAGCAAATACTGGTAATTGAGGAGGAAAATACACATAATTATGTTAGTTTGCTTACCCTCGAGGTCAGCAAATTTAATACATTAAATAAGCTACGCAGTTTTTTGGGTATAGTATTCTTGGTTTGGGCACAAGGTAAGAGCAAAATTCAGCTCAGTCTTACATTGTTATCACGAAAATGTTTAATAATATCGAAAACTAAATGACTAAATTATTATCTTGTTGTCTTTCCATCGAGTGCTTCTTCATTCAAAATTTATGGGTTGGATATCTATCGTTGAATAATTGATACTTATACTATACTTATACTATACTATACTATACCCGTACTTATAAGTACTTGCTATCTTTGAATTCTGGAAATGTAGAGCTTAATAGCAAGGGTTAGGCAAAAAAGTAAATCCTAGCTTTGTTATAATCTATTATTAGCATTTGTAAAATCGCCCCTAGATTTCTTCGAATCACAATCGTTTTTTTTTTTTTCAAACTTTAACCTCACTCGCTTGCACTGTCCCATGATGACTCCCATCACCGCCGACATATAATAGTTCATACATGAAAGGCCGGAACACGGCCGGACTATCCCCATACTCTCTCTCTCTCACCTGCTTGCAATGTCCCATCACTGCTGTCATTTCATACATAAAAGCCAGTGAGTAGACATGAGAGGCCAGTTCAACGCTGGGCAGGTTCTTGCACCCCATGTACATGTTGGCGAGCAGCCACTTGAACGCGGCTGGCGAGGCCACGTCAAGCACGAGTTCAGAGCTCGGCTTGGAATAAACTTTTTCTTCCAGCACGGCTGAACTCATGGCCAGGACTAACCGATGCACCTACGGGGGTGATCACCAAGTTAGAGATCTTAAGATGTGAATCATATTCTTTAAGGTTTTTATTGTAAACTAAATAATAGTTATGAGTTTCGTCGTAGTCCTTCAACGGTAGCGTCGATTTTCATCTTTTAGTCTCGTCTCGCCCCTGAAAAATTACCGTTGTGCTTCACTTCGCAAGTTTCGTCTCTCGAAAAATTTCCGTAATATTTCACTTTGTGAGATTTGTTTCGCTTATAAAAATATCTCACAGTATTTCACTTTGCACGACTTGCCTCGCTCATGAAAATTTCCCATATTATTTCACCTTGTACGACTTTTCCGAGTCCAAGAACTTGATAGTGAGATCGGACCGAGCAGCGTAGCGCAGTAGGCCGTTGAGACGCTGCATGGGATTGAACAGCGAAGCCTGCCAACCGCGCGGGACTGTTCAGAGACCTTTATTTAAAATAACTATTTCATACATTTAATATCATTCTTTACTGACATTGATTCGGAAATCAGGGGATCGTCATCATATGGAACTCTAGTGCATTCACTCTTATACAGAAATAATTTTCTTCGTTTTTATCAGATTAGTGTTTGAGATTATGCGACGTACGTTTCACGTTTCCTCAAGGTATTCTTTGTAGTCCATTAAACTTGAATCCATCAATACTTTTCCGCAATCTTACGACGCTAATTCAGAGTTATTTATGCTTAGCAGTTATCTCTTTATTTGCTGATAATAATTAGATATCAATTTCAATAGTCTCGAAAAATAATAAACATGCGTGCAGGATAACTTACTAAGCTTTAATTATACTTGAATTGAACTTCATTTTTCTACCTGTGTGTGCATTTTCTATTATTGTCTTACTTCATTTGAACCATGTGACTGTCACGTATTATATTTGTTGTGAGAAAACTCATAGAAATAAATGAGGCATTGTCCAAAAAGCGATGTACTTTTTGCCTGTAAGTGGGTAATTCTGGCCCAGTTTTGCCCAGCAAAGGAACGTATCAGCGATAAATCCGCTCTATATACTCGTGCTGTATGTACGTAATAAAGTGCCTCAGTATTTCGACGATTTGACCCATTCGTTGTTCTGAGAGATCACTCTATATTTCCACTGATCATTACAATATAAAAATGTTCTACAATAACCAATCATATCAACTAAATTACCAACCATCGTTTTCAGCAGCACTGGTTTCTGGTGTGTAGCTGGTGATGCTCTCAGAAGCGCTGTAATGCGTCGCCCTGGCGGAGACTGCAATTGTTTATTGTGTTCAATGAATTAGCTGCTTTAGTAGCAATATATTCATGCTATATTTCTTAGAATTAGTTGTATTACAACAAAATATAATATAGTCTTGTCGGCGCTGAAGAACAGGCTGGGATGGCCTATAAACGACTTTAAGATTTCTATGAGGTATTTCGTACTTACAATTTCATTTATTAGTTTAGATTACTGTTAAATCATATCGCATCTTTGAACTTAAAGTGCAACAAAGGCAGAAAAAAATTAGAGCGTTTAGATCTTATGTTGAAAAAAAAACTACACAACGAAATGTCACCGAGATTCTTGAGGTCTTTATAAAATTTTTAAAACAAAATTTATAACTGTATACATCTATGGAGACTAATAAATAATTGAAATTGAGGGTTTTAAGGTACTTAAACAATGCGGAAATATTTATCAGAATGGTAAAAGATTATTTCATTTCATGTAATTCTTAAATAGATACTGTATGTTTCTTCATTACAATATACCTATTGTATCGAAATAAACCATTGTTACTTTTACTTCTATTGCCTCAATTCGCTAGTAATAATACAAATTTCTTAGTAATAACGCATATATTTTTAGCGGAAATTAATTCATCGGAATTTCTTAATTTTTTTCACGCAAGCAAATCGTATATCACCTGTCGCTGTCGAGGCTGGCGGTATCGCTGCTACCCTCAGAGTAACCTGACTTACGGTCACTCTCTTCTGCCGGCGGGAGTCCTACAGGATTTCGGGTCCCCAGAGGCATTGTTCCTTATCCTTTGTCAGAGCTAGTTATTTTCAGGAGGATCAAGTTGTGTAATTCCAGAGTTAAGTGATTAGGCTGGTCAGTTGTATAGTGTTGAGTTATTGTTAAGTCTGGACAGTGGTGGACTTGAATTTCTATATATGCAATTAAGCCAGTTATTGAGTATAGGCAAGTCAGTTGATGTGTAGGCAGGTCATTTGATGTGATATAGGCAAGTCAGTTGATGTGTAGGCAAGTCAGTTGATGTGTAGGTAAGTCAGTTGATGTGTAGGCAGGTCATTTGATGTGATATAGGCAAGTCAGTTGATGTGTAGGCAAGTCAGTTGTTGTGTAGGCAAGTCAGCTATCGTGTACGCCGAACATTCGTGAACTTGCGTAAGGCAGTATAACTCACAGTACCTTTCCTGGTCCTTATTTCTTGCCTGCTGTCAGTCTCGTGCAATTAGCCGTTCGTACCGGGTATCTTCTTTCCTATTGTTTCTCACCAGGACCTTCTCAGTCTGTTTTAAAGGTTAAAGTTGCTGATTACTTTTAGTCTTCCGCAATCTGGCCCTCCGAGTTCCCGCCTCTTAATTAAAAAAATTTCTGAAGAAAGAGAAGTCCCATCTTGTTGACAATTTGTAGATTCCGCTGCGATGTGGCTAGTTTTTAGTCGCTGAATAACTTTTTGGTCACTGTTCTAATGATTACCCTAATCTGTTATTCCACTTGATTAATCAAAATAAGAATTGTAAATACGCGCCCGAACAGCTCCTGTGTATTATTCGGCGCCAGCCATCAAACCCACGAACTTTAACATGTATGCATGTAATATTATATATATGTATAGTTAAGTATAGAAGATCAATTCGAGTAGGGGGCTTTTAATTTAACTCCATTGGAATTTTTAGGAGATATTTAAAAAAATATAGAAACCCAGTTTGCAATAAAATCGGAAACCGTGATAGTTGTTTTGCGTGTGCCTTCATATAGTCGCGCGTTCTTCATGAACCGTCTGGTCAGCACAAAGCACCCGATACGACTGATGCACACTCGAATTTAAACTGATGGTTGACCCCGAACATGGCATGCCAGATTGCTCGTCTAGTGCCTGCAGTTTGCTCCACTTGATGAAGCAGGATGCGAACATGAGGCTCCTGCTGGTTCCTCAATAATAAAAAGAATATTGTAGGCTGATATGCTCGCTTTGGGTTAGAAATATATGCATGTATTGAGACAAAAGTTTACGTGTTTCGGTGCTACCGTGCATCTTTTGGCACAGTCCACATTCAAATTACCTTGCCAATGTAATTTAAAGGCGGGTGCATGTGTACTCTGTACAGTCTACCCCACATACTTCGGCCTCAACTAATTCAATTAGAATTGCATCCTGGCCGGACGAGTTACTTGACGCGCATTAAATGTGTCCTGCAGCTGAACTTTGGATGAAAACAGCCGCTCCTCTTCTCTAAATAAGTAGTTCGATTTGCACTCTATTTTTCAAGTATTAGCGTCGTATCAAGAAGTTTATACAAATAAAGTGTAACAGTAAATTTTAATTTGTACTTCCAAAAATGTAATAAAAATTGTCTCATTCACCTCGGTTCTTCAAATGGAGTTTTATATAGCTCAGTACCGATCACGGTTTCATTCCTTACGTTGGTAGGTAAACACAATTGAGTACGGAACACGTGGCCTCTAAAGGTTAAAGCGTCCAGGAGCAGCGGCGGCAATTCGGGATTCACAGTGAAATAAATACAGTACGAACAGGGCAAGGTCACTATAATGAACGCTTGTCCAAAGTAAATCATGCTTTTGCATTAGCTAACAGCGCATGCAGAAAACATAAAGAAGACTGAAACCCTGTTAAGATATTCAGCTTGTAATATTTATTAACTACTTGAATTTGGGACGTGTAGTCATAACAAACCTATCAGAATAATGAAAATTTCTATCAAAGCTACCATTTAAGTTTTACTATCATAACATATCGAATGTTGTGTACGATGTTGGTGGGCGTTTTTGTGGGTACCTACTTTAGCCTCGTAAAAAAATGGCCGAGATAATTTAGTTTTGTAAAGCGTACGGCCAGGTTCGAATTCGGTAAGTGGATCGGATGGTCAAGTAGAGCAGGATTGGAGCAGCGAGTTTTGGGTTTGAACTTGCAGTTAGCAGTAAAATTCTTCTAGCGTCTGCTAAATTATCCAGTACTAAGTGATTCTTATTCGCAATTTTGATACCGCTGCAGCTGCACCTCGTTAGTAGTGAGTTTATGAGATTTTCGAATGTTGACATACATGTACATTGTACAGCTTGACGCTAGGCTATAGCTAATCTTCAACACTGACACCACTGCACGATATACCATATAAATAAATTTTCAGACGGCGTTAAATTTGTACAAGAACTTCCTGGAGTAGCATTTTCCTAATTTTTTACCTCTCTTAATATGAACAAATTCATAAAAATAGTGCGCTTCGGAGCGCACTTGACCACGCCAATCTCTGTCGGCATCCTACATTCGGCGTGTCCTCACTCGGTGAATGATTGAACGAATTTAATTAATGATTTTATTACTAGATAAACAGTGGAAAGCCCCCAATTTTACATGTTCAAGTTTATGATGACTTGCCCTGTCTGAGTTTTTCAGGACCATATATGATGGTTTAATAGCAGTGGTTAGCGGTTTTTGCCGCGTCTGAATGTGTCATTGTTATTAATTATGATTTATGGCTGATGACATTACCTCTTCATTTTTTATTAATACTCACAAAATATCTAGATACAGCAAATCCTTACGAGGCTTAAATGTTTGCAGACATGCCCAAAATTATTCAGCAGTAAATTCACTTCCGTTCGTTTACTTCTAGGTGCTGGAGTGCCCGCGGCGAAAAAAAAATATTTAAACGCCGTAGATAATAGAATGTTTTCGAAATATCACATAATAGTGAATTACCGTCAACATGGATAAGACCTGCCAAAGTTAGAAAAAGGTTTGTTATGCCGTAGTGTGATCATATGATGAATTCTTCAAGCCAGTGATGCTATTTATCTAGTGGTGCATGAACTGAAATAAATGTTGTAATAGCTTATTACCCAAATAACCGAATTTTTTTCGCTTCCAATTTTCAGCAATGAATTAGCATCTTTGTGACTTTGTCGTATGTTTCACTTTCATGCAATCATCCTGAGTACCGGAAAAAGTCAGTTGCGTTCGATGCCAAAGCACGTTTGCGATTGCCCTGTGAATCCTTGTGTCCAAATGACAAGATTAGTGCTAGCCTGCTAGGTAAGGCCGTAAGGGTTACTAACCTGTAGACTAATCCGGTGCACAATTTAACTCTCATAAGACACAATTATTTTGCCTAATGGCCTTATTTATTACAGATTGGCTTGCCAGACGAGGGAGCCTTTTGAGCCGTGAGGTGTTTCGTGTATGGAGGAGTGAGGACGACTCCACTTCCTCAAGAAGCAGACAAAACAACACGTTTGCGATTAATACTCTCAAAGAACTGAAGTACTTTTTCGACAGTATTTGCGACGTAAGTTTCTTAATTAAACATATTGATAATTAAAATTTATTTAAGGCACAGCTGGCTTTTTGCTTGAGTTTGCTGGTTCTGTTTATTATTTTTGTTCTTTTGGTTAGGTACTTGTTTTGATTTTTTCTTCTATTTCTTTATATTTTGGCTTCGTCTATCTGTGAAAATTTTTCTACAAGTTGCAGCCATAAGGGTATTATTGCAGATTAACTACATCCAAAAAAAAGGGTGTTTTTTTTTTAATTATATGTTTTTTGGGGTGTAGATTACGAATCTGAAATCCATAAAAAAAACACCCTTTTTTTTGGATGTAGTTAATCTGCAATAATACCGCCATAAGCGAAAATTACTAAAGAATCAAATCACTTCACTACACGTTTATTTGAATTTGTTGATATTCAACAATATTTCTTTGAGACCTAACAATCCTATCATATCAGAAATGCTACTCCACTAAGCACTAACTCCAGGAAGTTTATATGCAACTTTAAAACCTGAAAATTTGTTGATATGGTATATCGTGCACGTGCAGTGGTCAGTGGTGCCAGCATTGAAGATTAGCCATAAGCCAGCTAGCATCAAGCTGTACAAATTACAATGACTACAATCATACTATGTATTGTAAATGTATGTCAAATTGTCAACATTTGAAAATTTTTCTAATACAAACTCACTAGTAACAAGATGCAGCTGCACCGGTATCAAAATTGCAAATAAAAATCACTTAGTACTGAAAATTTAGCAGATGCTAGCAGAATTTGCAGCTGCAAATCCTAAACTTAAACTCACTGCTCCAATCTTGCTGTACTCAACCATCCAATCCACTTGCCAAATTCAAACCTGGGCTCATTTGCTTGTGGGCTAGCCATATGCCTTTTGCAACTAAATTACCTTGAACATCTTGATTTTTACAAGGCTTCAGTATCTGCAATGAAGCCCAACAACATTGTTCACAACAATCAATATGCTATGTGAGTACCTATGTGTTCAAGTGCACATACCGGTACTACACTAGCAGAAGTATGCCAGAACATAAATGATAACTTTATTTATTGTTCTGATTTCTGATAGGTTTGTTAGGTCTCAAAGCAATATTGAGTGATCAGTGATGGCTATAGCCAAATTATAATTTATTCAATAAGTATATATGATAAGAGAAATATTTTGAAGTTCCTCTATGTTAACAGCATTGAAATCTATGTTGAAACGTAAATTTATAATATTTATTAGTCACCTAATGACTTGAAACTTTACTTCATTTTGAACCTAGTCAAATTTATTGCCCATTGAATGTCGTTGCAAGTGTCATGTGAGAGGTGGTGTTAGTGTGCTGTGGAGTGGTCTGCAAATAAGCATTGATTGTTACACAATCTCAAAATACCATGTTCTTTTATATTAACCATAGAATTGCACCATAGACTTGTTTGACTAAGGTTCAGGATGTGGCCAGGCTATATTGGTTGTGGCCAAGGACCTAATGCCCCTTCCTTTCTAAAGGATCCAATTGGCCTAGCTGAGTGAATCAAAAATTTATCTTTTAGAACAATAAAAGATTAATTGTGTGTCTAAATCCATGTTGTCAGTGGATTGCTCTGGACCTGGAGTCTCCTTAGTCCTTACTTCAGTGGACATTGCATTGACATTTTTCTTCTGCTTCTTTGATTGAATTTGAGTTGTCTGCTGCTACCACCTGGGCTCTGATGTGCACATTTTTCAGGTTTTTGGTAAAGAAAAATAAAGGTAAAAAAATTCTATTGTTTTCCTTTTTACAGTCTTTATTTCAATGCATTGTCTAAATTTATAGTTTGCATTGTAATTTTCTAAAATATATCATTGTTTGAGATAGTTTAAGACATGTTTACTCTGCTCTATTGAATAATTTATACCATTTCAGGTAAAACATATGAAACTGCCTAAACAAACATGCCCCCAAAGAGAGCCAAATTAGCCATTGATGGGAATTCAGCTCAGAAAGCCACCATGACAACAAGAGGCAAAAAAATCTCCTTGCATCACATCCTTGGAATATGGTCGGGCTTCATCCCCAATTGCCAATGTGAAAAATGCAATGAACTTCAACCAGTGGCATCTTCAAGTTCAGTCGAATCTACACCTCAACTTCCACTGCTTCATCAAACTTCTAAAAAATCAGCAAGAAGTGATTCTGAAATTATCAAGCTTGCTGAAATTGAAAAAATTGAACCTATCACTGATGAACCAGATCCTATCTATTTCAACTCAAATGGTTCTGAAGATGATTCATCAAATATAGAATCTATAGATGGTAATACCAATTCAAATAACAATGTTGATCCTTATCTTCATGCTAAAGTACCATTAGCTAAAGATGCAAAAATCGATAGTAATGAAAATAGTTTGGCTACAGATAATGTTTCAGAGGATGATTTAGGCATAGAAGTTGCTAATGCTGAATTTGATATTGATCATGACTCTGATAATGTTTACACTGCATTTCGAAGGAATGTAGATGATCCCTTGAACTATGTAGAGTGTTCAGTGTGTTTCAAGAAAATCAAGGAATCCTCAATGAAACAACACTTTAAAACACATTCAGGAGTGCGACCACATCGTTGTGATATTTGTGGCACATACTTTACCCGCAGAGGAGATGTCTGTAGACACAAGAGGGTGGTGCATGGCAAAGTGAGACCATATGTCTGTCGTAAATGCAACAAAAAGTTTCCTGACCGCACTCTTCTAGTATCTCATCTTGTCAACCATGACAAGACCACTTTTTATGAGTGTTCAGTTTGTAATTTCAAGTTTGGTCGTAGGGAGTATTTTGACAATCATATCCGCTTCATTCACCCTAGTGCTGAGCAAGTGAACCCCAGTTCTGTTGCTGAAGATGCTGTAGAGATACAACTCAAAGAGCTTGAAGAAGAAGATGAAATCACTGGGGCCAACACTGTGGCATCAGCTATCAGAAATGCAGAATTATCAGCCAAAACCTACAAACAAATGCCGGAAATAAAAGCAACTGATATCTGCAAAGATTTGACTGATTTCTCTGCTCCTATTCCATTAATGCAACTGCAAACCGTTTCTAAAGATAGTGGAAAAGATGAAGATCTTGTTGGCAAAATTCTAAATGCTGCTGTTGCTCAAGCAACAAACACCTTATCTAACTTGGCTGCAGTCAATCCTGCTAGGACTTCATTCAAGTCTAACAAGCGCAACAATAAATATGGTGGCCAAAGTCCTTTGGAAATAATTGTAAAAGTTTCAATGAATGGAACAATGAGAAGGTTTATTCTTCAAATTCAAGGTGAAGAAGAATTTGATCTTCAGTCAGCTGAAGGAATGGACCTTATAGTAAAGTTGATAAATGAGCTTGGTGAAGATAAAGGGCAAGTTGACGGGCCTATCCAGATCGAGCTGTATAAGCCACCCCGCCGTTTTCTCCTATTAAAACCTATTACTTGAATGCTTAGAATTAGATTTTCTATTTAAACAATTCTGGAGTACTTGAATTCATACTATTATTATTAGATGAGGCGTCTGTGTAATATTCAAAATTATACCTGTGTCGAGGTAACTTAGGTCACTTCCCTCATCTTCAGGTCATCTTTCCTTCTGCACAAGAAACTCTAAACTAAAGGGGTTGATTATACAGGGTTATTCTAAATGATGGACCATATTTAATAAATTTTTATTTATTCAAGTGTAAATTCAAAATGAATAATTTATACACCAATAGAAAAGGATTCAAAGTTTTTTTTAACCTATTCAAATGCAAAATTGGTTGGTATCGGGGGTAGTTGTAGAAATGAATGGAATCAGTCACTTCCAGAGCATTGGAAAGAACACATAGGAAATGAAGATCTGGCTCTACACTTCTGGCCACTGAGATCACCTGAACTCAGCCCATGTGACTATTTCTTATGGGGTTACATCAAGAGGCAGGTTACACCCTGCCTTTACCAGCAACTTTGGTCAATCTGAAGAACCGTATCACTGCTGCAGTGCACTCGGTTACAGAAGATATGCTTTCTTGGGCGTGGGACGAGTTTGGCTACTGTTCAGATGTTTGCTGTTCAGCACAATGTTCACATATAGAACATGTATAAATAAAATACTTGAAAAAAACTTTAAATAAAACCACGTTTTTCTTGTGGACTAAAAAGTAGAAAATAAATTGTGGCTCGCCCCAAAAAAACGTGTGTCGGGCAGATTTATGATTAAAGCGAAAAGCACACAACACACGAATTTTGGAAATTTGATCAATTTACTTGACTTGACGTACGTATCGATGATACGCAGCGTCAGCGCCTGCTCGTCTAGAACGTCAGCGCCCGCACGTCATACTATATATATACTATTTATATATACATTACTCAATTAAGCTAATTTAGGTCTCTAATTGCTAGCTTTTATGATTGTATTTTATATATATACTTTACTCAATTAAGCTAATTTAGGTCTCTAATTGCTAGTTTTTATGATTGTATTTGAAATTGTTAGGCGAAAATAGCCTGCATGCCGAATTTCAGATCTCTAGAGCAATCAGAAGTGGGCTAATTTTCGTTGTCAATGTTAACAACAAACAAACAAACGCGAAGCTAAGCTAAGAAAAACGTGTTAAAAACGTGTTAATATGCAAAAAAACTTGAAATTTTTCTTCTTTTTACAACACTTCTCTTTAACTTCACTTCCCGTTTTTTTGTCTGTGCTACAAATCTTATAATTGATATTTAACACACTTCTACCTTTCCCATCAATCTGAAATTTTGCACACTTGCGTTAAGTTGGAGACAATGCATAAATCAATTGACAGAATAAATAATTTTGAAACTTTAATTTTTTTATTTATAATTTTTTTCATAATTTATCTTTTTATTTGTATTTGAAAATAAAATTAGAAATTCTTTGTGCATGTGCAGCATCAGAGATGCTGTATTCTTTAGAAGAGTTGTCTTTAAAAAGTAATTCTTAAATGCATATTTTAATACATTTTTGCATAAATTAGTCATTTTGAATTTATACTTAAATAAATTTTTAAAATTTTCAATGAAGTCCATCATTCAGAATAAATCTGTATTTATTATTTATTAAATTGCAACTGGGAATGCAAGCAGAACTTTTCAATAATTTTTCAATGCTTCTTAATTGCTCTGGTAAATTTTGTACATGATTAAATTTTTAATGTGCAACATTAGGGAATTATATCTTTTTCAAAATTGGAAGTAAAATTTGTCTTCTAAAAAATGTTATCAATAAGTTCATTCCAACTAAATGGTTTTTACTTTTTTCAAATTAGAAATTAATTAAAATCAAGTTTTAGCTTGGCCATTAGTGCTGTTCTTAAAAACGTAATTCCTACGGTATGAGGACAAGAGTGCAAAATAAAAAAAAAATCGTGAAGTTACACAGGAAGACACTTACAGACATACGTAAGCTTGTTGGTGGATATTATCTTCATGGCTGCGCAGAGTAATCTGATCTGGTGATAAATTATTCAAGAAAATTGTTGACCAATTTCATTTGAAAAATAATTCAATTTTTTATGTGAAGCTTCAAAGAAAGGGAGAAGAGTACTTTATCGTGAAAGATTATTTATTATTAATATGTACAGCCAAAAGTCCCTAAGACATGGACCGGATGCGTTTCAATTCTCTGTAGACACTCTCTTGGCCAACTGCACAAAATGATAAAAATGCATTAGTGTTTTAGCAAATTAAAAATATTATCTACTATTGATAGTAAATATATATTTCTTTCAATCCTGTTTCTTGAACTTCAAGTTTCTTGCTTGTAATATTCATATTTTCTGAAATTCAAAATAATTTTGATATTTTCATCAATAAAATTTATGTTTGCTTCAAGTAGTAATTATTAACATGCAAGAGCTCATTTTAGAATTTCTTCACTTTTGAAGGTTTTGAAAAATAATTGCACATACAGTGATTCCAATCATTTTTCTAACATAGCATACTCTTGATGAATTTAGCTCGTAGCTAAATATATTAATTGTTCTAAATCCACTGATGTTTCACATATAATAATATGACCTTGCATGATATCATGGATGCAAAAATGTCAGTATGGGTGTATTAATTTCTGACATTATTTCTATTCCACACTCGTACCATGAATGCTTTTTGTACTTAGAATTTAAAACTTACTATAGGGATCAAAGCGGATGACCTCAATTTTTTCATCGCCTCGATCCTTGATGTATATCCTCTTGTGGCCAGACACCAAGGACTTGATTACCACCATCACCTGTCTGGTAATACAGACATATTAGTAGGTAAACTCCATAATAAACATCAAAACCATCACATGCATTCATTCATCTTTGCATTTCAATGAACTATCTAATATAATAATGTATAATATATCATGTTTAAACAATTCTATTATAATTCAAACAAGAATTTAATTTAATCAAATTTGATATTGTGACCAAGGAGTAGGGGAATATTCCATGAATAAACTACAATGGACAGTTAAAACCTACATCAAAGAAGAATTGCCTGTTAATAATTATTGTAAATGGTACTGGAGTTGCAAATGGCAGATACTATGACTGAAAAATGGTAAAAAATGAGACAAGATAGTGAAGATACAAATGGTCTATTATATAATAAAAATAATATGTGTTTAAAAATTACATTTCTAGCGACAACACTCTTAAAGTATCCGGTGTCTCCAATGTTACACATGCACAATGAATTTCTAATTTTATTTTCAAATATTAAAATAATCCATTTTTAATTTTTTTATACGTAAAAAATTTAAACTTTCAAAATTATTTATTCTGTCAATTGATTCATGCATTGTCTCCAACTTTACGCATGTGTGCAAAATTTCAGATCGATTGGAGAGGAAGAATTGTGTTAAATATCAATTAGAAAATTTGTAGCAGTTAACAAATAAAGTAATCATATAACTATATATAAGTTAAACCGCACAAAAATTGTCGACAAATACAGTGTTTGTACTGGTATTCTGAAAAAAAATTCCATGACTTAATTTTACATGACCATCAATATAATTTTCCAAGACCAGCATGACAGTTTGGCACAACTGATAAGACTAACCATGCATAATCAATCATCTCCTACAGCTGATAATAGCAAACGTAGAAATGCATAGCTCTTCAAAGGTGGCATGGCTCGTCAAAGCTGCTTTCCCCATATTTGAGTCTGACACATCAAAGTCTTTCAAGTACTATGTACATATTGCCATATCTTCATGTTTTGGATGGTTCCAGGTTTTCCATGGCTGGTAGGAACCCTGCAAATATGTGCCTTTTTTATTTATGCATGAAATAAGTTCACCAAGGGCCACAAAATTGGTTGCACAAGTAAAGTAATGATCGGCAAATAATTCCAGACTCAAGTACCTAATCAACATGATAAGTAATGTTTCAATAATTCAATGAGTGGTATTTAGCAAATAATGTGTCATTAACAATAGTATTTCTTGTGGCAGTGGCTCCAACACAACAGTGACCAGAAAGTTTACTATTTATTGTCAAAACCAGACAAACCGCAACTAGGTAGTGGCATTTGGCAAATATAGACCGCATAGCTATTAGCTAAGCTAGCTACCTAGTACTCAGCTACTGGGGCCTGGGCTACTGCATAGTAGGATTTGGCATTATATCTTACTTTGATTTTGGCTTAAGAAGCACGTTGGTGAGAAGCATGGTGACGTTTTACATAAAAAAAACTACCTAAAAAATAAGGGCTTCCCTATCTTGAATAATGACGAATTGACGATGATCGGATGATGGATTCGTAAATTGGTTTCGAAAACTTGTTAGCCTAAATGTTATTGACTCATTCCGGCAAAAGTTGCGACGTAGAACTTCTCCGTTAGAGCGGAATGGCACCAAAAAATTGCGTTAACAAGCTCAAGAGGAGTTAGAGTTATCCTCGTCATTAATTCGGGAGCGCAGCCCTACACCACAAATTTAGCTCGTAAACAAGCCCTAGCGCCAACGCCTACCTTATAATGCAATAACTAAACTCAGCTACACAATTCAATATCTATTCCTTTCCGCTCGTAATCACGATAGAGGGCATATTAGCCTGTGTGATCAAGTGCCTAAAGCCATAGGAGGTCCCCATCGCAGTACGGTACACTCCGAATCTGAAGTTCTCAATGCGGATTGACTTTTCTGCAATGAAGTGTGAACGGCTGGCATAGTTTTCACGCCTCACTGGCTAGCAGAGTTTTCAAGAGTCTTTATAAAGTAATATGCGTTAGAAAATTACTTTTTAAATACAACCATTCTGAACAATCCAGTGTCTTTCATCATTTATTCTGTCACTTGATTCATGCATTATCTCCAACTTTACGCAAGTGTGCCAAATTTCAGATCGATTGGATAGGTAGAAGTGTGAAATATCGATTACAAGATTTGTAGCAGACAGACAAACAAGAAGTGAAGTTAGAGAGAAGTATTGTAAAAAGAGACCAGTTCATACAAATTAATGTATTAAAAGATATCGATACCTGTTCAAAGCTATACATGTTATATGAAACTTAGAACACCCACTTGCTTGTCGTTCAAAAATAGGAAAATGCAGATTTTAAATTCAATCTATAAATTCTGATTTAAAAATCAAATTCCAATCCTATCTTAGTCTTTACATTCCACCATATTCTGTCATGAACTAATTTTTACTCCGAATAAACATTCCGGCGTATGGTGAATAAGCGTTTACATAGCCCCCTATATACTTGCGGCGCCGAGCTTACAACCCGAACGCACTGCTGATACACAAACTAAATTTGTTATATTAAAGATATTTGAAACATTTATGTCCCGGCGACTTCAATATCACAAAGTGGTAGTCGATCCGAGAAATTTGGATAAGCCCGGACTCA